AGAAATCAAGGTAATCAAATTCGGAGTGCCACAAGGAGCAGTGCTTTCACCAACTCTCTACAACATCTTCACGTATGATGTTGTAAGAGAGACAACCAACAACATCGGTCTTTTCGCAGATGATACAGCACTGTATCATTCTGCAGAGAACTCGGCCGATATTGTGACACATCTACAGCACACAGGAAGAAAAGTTCAACAATACATGAACAAATGGAAGATCAACCTCAACAAACAGAAGACTCAAGCCTTATTCATCACAAACAGGCACTCCAGGCAACTACCAGGAAATAACATCAAATTTCTCAACGAAAACATCAAATGGGAAACAGAAGCTAAATATCTGGGAATGGTGATCGACAAGAGAGTGACATTAAAGCCGCATGTGGAGTATGTGACCAATAGGGCTCACACCGCATTAAGACAGCTTTATCCGCTCATCAGCAGGAACTCACAACTCGACGTACGAAACAAACTTCTCATCTACAAGCTAGCCATCAGACCAATATTCACATATGGTTGTCCAGCGTTTGGAAGCATGGCAAAAACCCATCTTCAAAAACTTCAAGTACTGCAAAACAAATTCTTGAGAATTGTTCTCAATAAAACAAGATATGAAAGGATCACCGATCTTCATACAGAAGCGAAAATACCGTCCATCGAAGACTACGTCGGAAAGTTGCAAGCGAACTTCAACAGTCGTCTTGCATCTCAAAACACCGAATAAATCAAATGAAATACAAAAGAAAGTAAAATCCGTAAATGAAATCAAAATTAAGAGACAAAAGGCAAATTGAATGCCTGAAACCTTAAAACAAAAAGCAACAAAATGTATAGAAACTTTGTACATACTTAAATTTAAATGTAAATAAATAAAAAGTTTAATTTAAAAAAAAAAAAAAGTTTAAAATTTTTGTATTTCTTAAATAGTTCTTTACACAAGTATCTAAGATATAAAGTGTTGCATAGTTTTGAAAAGGTATTAAAATTTCCAATATGTTAACATGAAAATTTTAGGAAAATTTTCAAGTAATATAGTCAATTTGGGTAAAAAACGCATTTTATATATGCTAGTTTTTAATGTTTTTCGTTTTTCTCAGCAAAGACTTTATGAAAAACTCTCAAAGTTTGCACACTTATTTGTTATATAAATGTTAATGACTCGTATAAGTTTTGGAATTTTCTATTGAGTTTTTCATGAGTTCTCCAAATCTGAAATTTTCAATATTAAAAATCCTTTTTTCTCAATAATTCCGATTTTTTATTTATAAATAAATATCTTATTTTGTTTCATTTTTCAATATCTTTTCATTGATATGTAACAATCTACGAAAAAAATAAGACTAGCGAGAAATCAATAAAAAAAGTGTCAAAAATTTATGAAAATTCTACGCTATTTTAATTTTTTATCCTTTTCTGGTTAATTTTATTAAGTTTTGTAAGAGTATTATACCTTTTTGCAAATTTATAGCTTAAGACTTTCATCTGCTTTCATCCACTAAAATTCGTATGAGTCAACGATAAGCACAACTGAAGTTAAATAAGCTTCACGTTGGCGACAAAAGACAGTTCCATATGAAGAAAACCAGATATTAATTTTAATGCTATTTGAGCTATAATATTAAACTTTTTCATTTAGTTTTGTTATAAATGTTTCATGTATTTAATAGCAGCCTGAAGATTTAATTTAAAGCTTTTAAATAATTTGATTTTAAAAAATTCAAAATTTTTGGTTGCGCCATTGAAGGAGATTCATCCATCCAGTGACTGGTGAGAGCATTTTCAATGTAACGTGAAAATGGTCGTCTGACCAACTTTGAAGTGCCATATCTCGGACACGCTGTCGACTTGGGCAAAGTTTTAAGAACGTAAATGTAGGGCAGAATAAGGACTATCATATAAGCTGTAGAAATAATTTTTGGAAAAATTTTCCATTTCTGGCCCATAGTGCAAGCATGGCTTATGATGAGGCTCAGTGCATTTAACAGATGATTTTTTTTTATCAGTCGCAATAATGACCATTTGTGGCTGATTAAGTTATATTCAAGTTCAATATCTCACCTCCATGTCATTTGCAATCAGTTCTAATAATCCTTTGTTTCCCAATTGTCTAAATTCATTGCCAGCTGGACCATTGATTAAATTTTGAATTCGGGGGATGATTCCTTTGACTGAAAATGAGCTGTCATCGATGATTCCTCGAGCAAAGTTCTCAAGAGTTTCCTGCTCAATTTTATCATAATGATCTAGATATTCCTCATATTGATCATGTCTAGTTTCTATTCGACTCATAAGATCAATCATTTCATGTATAACTAGCTCTAATTTAGTGTTTCGTCTTATGTAATATTCAAGTCCTTGCATTGTTGCTTGAGAAGATTCATCGATCTATGGGGAAATCAATAAGTAGTAATGAATATTTAATTCAAGGTTCGAATTAAAATTGTTCTGTAGCGAGCTATAAATTATACCGGAAAAAAATCTCTATGGCTGGATTCAAGGATTTAATAGCCATTGCAGTTTTTTTGCGGCTTGGTGTTTGTGCAGTTTCCTATCTTAATTGATATCATTCATGTCGATATCATTAAAAAACCAGCTGTTATAGCTAGCACCCTTAATATTGTAAAGCATGGTCTGTTTGGGTATCTGTTGCTAACCTACCAAGTCAAAAGCCACGCTTAACATTTCAATCCTAATCTAGATTCCAAGATTCTAGATCCAGACATCATTTCCGACTATAGCTACTCACCATCATCTCTGTATTTCGAAATTCCTGCGATAGTTCCGCCATTCGTGACAAGATTTTCTTCTCTTTTCGTTTCATAAATGGCAAGTCTATTTCATTTGTAACGCCTACTTGATCAGCTAATTCCCATGTGCTAGAAATTGTCTTAATAACTTCACGACTTAAGTATAACACATCAATCACATCTTCAACAAGTGCATTGACTCTTACAAACTGCCAAATGAGACATATGGTGAATAATTTGAACCATCGCGACATGATGAAAGGCTTTAAACTGAGCTGTAAAGAATTTTTTTATGTGCTTACAAAAATTTGAATAACATTCTCGCGTATTATTTATGCTTTTCGTAATCAGATCGTCACTACTATAAACATTCAATTTAACACAATAAACGATAAGTTCCGTAGAGTAACTGTAAGGATCATTTGAGCATATATTAAGAACGCAATTTCAGTTCATTCATAATATTTTGCGAAACTGTCGTCACGTTACTATAAATAAAGACTGTAGAATTTAAAGACTCAGAAATGTCACTCAATTATCTGAGTTTGAGTAAAACATGAATTCAAAGTTCAAAAAAAAAATACTAAGAATCAACATAATGGCTGGATCAATTATTTAACAAGTACAGAGGGAATAATAAAGCAGTCATTGTTCAATCGTTTACATACAAAATAATGTCGTCAGCGCTTCTCAATGATGAGTCACTTGATTTAACATTTCCTCTTTAACGGTTTTCTCTTTCATCCCAATTTCAACTAGTTTAGCCTTCTTAGAAAGCTGATGTGTAGTATCGCGACCAAAACTTATTCACACTTCGTGATTCATCAATATAAATTGACTTTGTGCGGGAAAAGTCTGTTGTTTTTGAAATCATTATTTAAATTGGACTTAATGTCTACACTCACTCACTAGTCTCTGCTCTGCATTTTTATCGCAGTGAACATTTATTATTTTTTTGAACGTAGAACATGCTTTGTATGCAGCTATGATTTTTATCATGAACTTACGTATGCATTGACATATGAAGTAATTATCGACTGGAACGACTAAATTAAATAGAAATTTTAAGATCTGATTGTTATTTTAGGGTTCTATTTCTGTATGTGCTGTAGAGCTGACTCTTCTTGTTTGGCATTTAAGACATCTTTTATTGTTTTGGCTACTGCACATTGATCTTATTGATATTTTAACTAAGTATTGAAAGTGACATTCAGTCTCAAAGTTAGTATTCAGCTTTAAAATCTCCTGTTTGTTGTTGGTTTGAGAATCACATCAGGCTTAAATGTGGATAATGTTCCGCATATTCTTGAACAATTCAACAAAGCTAGAATCAGCTGTTTTGTGTCTTATGGATGAGATCATATTTAAAGATTTTCGCTGATTTTTAAGAATCAACTGTTATTAGACAATTCAGTTCCACTTTAGACATACTTCTGATTTCTGACACACCTACATTATTTTACAGCATGCATACAGATTCAGAACCACTAATTCAAATTTCTGTCGTATTTCGTACCAATCAAATTTAATTTAAATCCGCGTATTTCTCTCATTACTTAATACCAAAAAGTTTCACTGGATCTTTTGTTTATAAATTATTTATGGATAATAGCCGAGCACACTCAAATGACCTTTTATGAATTAAAATCACTAATATACAGTTCATTAGTTCCAACATTTAGTTTATTCTGATAATATTTAGTTCCTCTTTAAATATGTAATTATCTACTAAGAAAGTATGTACCTTAATCAGCTCTAATTTCAAGAAGCAATAATCACAAAATAAAGAGACTTAGTAATATTTTGTAACAACTTCCATTCACATTGGAAACAACTGCTCAACTGAATTCTGAAATAAAAAAAACTGGTTGTATGCTGAGTGTAAAGCTTTACATAAAAATGCTGTGTATATGATGATGACTAAATGAGCTAATGAGAATGAATTCAAAAGAGAATGGAAATTGTTGAGAATGAGAGTTTTATTAATCACAATATGAATATTGTGTATCAAGATAATTTGATCTGAGCTTGTTTGTGGATCTAGGGATGTATTTAGGTGGTCCTCGATTTGAATAAATGCGATTTTAAAAAATCATTAATTTAAGTTCATTATCATCAATATGTGTTTTATTCAGGCCCTTTTTTTAACATTCAATATCCACAACTCCTTCCTCAATACGCTCTTTTAACTTATGTACAATAAACTGCAATTTTTATTAACTTTACTTCCTGTTTTCTTTCTCATTGTAGAGCTTATTTTACGAGGTCTTATCAGGAATATGGGTCCGAAATGGATTGCAAATTAAAGGACAAGCAATGACTTATATTCAGGCAAACTTCTGCAACTCAATGGTCGATATGGATTTGTTCTTCCTTCAAATCTGTGCAACTCAATTGCCAGCAAGTTTCTACTTGACATCGTGCATCGATAGCTTTGGTGTCAACGAATGGTTCTTCCAAAATCTTACATCAACTCAAGAAATGGAGCATGACTCGATGATGGAAGGAATGTTGACATTCTTAGCGACACTTATAACATCTCGAACGAATTTAGGAAATGATGAAGATATGAAGTGTATTGTTGAAATAAGTGCTCTATTGACGACTAGTGATAAAACTCATAGTCAACTATTAGAATTAATGCCTGAACGCTCAGGAAATCCATATGCAAAGAATTTTGAAAAGTACTTAAAGCTTCTATCAAGCTATCGTCCACCGCCAGTTGGATCTGAGAATTTAGAACAAGGGCTTTTTATTCCCTTGCCAATTGTCTGGAATATTTATTATGATCCATTGCATGTGCTGTTGAGAGCTGTCCATAGACGTGACTTTCAAAATTCATTGGATCGATTTAGTGCATACGTAACGCAACAAAATAAAATGCCAAAAAGTGGAAACTTATGGCCACCATTTCGACTTCCAAATGCTGTTGGTGCTGGATATACAGATCCATCGTGCGTCTTAAATACTAAAGTGTTTCACTCAATTATCTTAGGAATATTATATCGAGCTGTGAATGTACGTAATGTTAGTGAACATTTAATGGCATTAGCAATATTTTTATTAGAACTTGCTGTAACGAAAACTAATAAGGATACAGAAAAGTCGACATTAGAATGTAATCCGAGAGCATCATCAACATCGTCAACGTTTAACAATAGTAATATGGATCAGCAGCATAAGGACATACCTGACTTATTTAATTGTTATCCAGGCAATAATTTATATGAGAATTTAGCATTACATGTTACAACATTAACATTAGGAACGAATGAGACACAAAACTCGCCAGCAAATTATCAAACTCAATTTGATAGTGATATTGAATGGGAACTATCGGAAAGTGATGCGATGCCAATGCTAATTGGAAGTGTTGATCATGATTATGCCTATAATGGTGGATTAGATGTAGCAGTTCCACAAGATTTATCAATTGTACGTGAAAATAGTGAAGATTTATCATCGCCACCAGTTAGAACGAATCAATTGTTACCAATTATGAGTTCAGAATCGTCAGTAGCTGTTGTAGAGTATAGTAATAATGCAGAACCACAAGAAGAGCAGAGACAACTTGCAATAAACTCAACACCTGCTATTAGTGCTGGAAGCAATAATATGGAATTAGTTGTAAGACGTGAAACGTCTCAAAGTGAAGTAATTAGTGATGGTCTTAGACCAAATAGATCACCTCAGGAATTATTTTACAGTAGCGGAACGACAAACAATATTTCTGGAGTAATTTTGCCATTTAATCGTGTTCAACCCGTTGCTGTGCCCAATCAAGTTCAGAGTATGGATGTCGTTCCATCAGTGTCAACAAGCACGACTTTCCGTAGACGTATGAGAAATCTTGAGTCTCAGGATTCGACAGATGCAATAAAGATTGATGATAGCATTTTATCACTATTATTAAAGCTACATTCACAATTGAGTGGAACGCTTGATAGTTTCTCATTAGAAGATGATGACGATGTGATAATTAGTGATAATGCAGCAGCAGCAGCAGAATCAAATAGTAGTTCTAGTCACCAATATCCAAATTCAATTGAACCGAGAATCGGTGATGGACCTTTTTTCATTGGGAATTTATTGAGAAAAATTGCACGTGTCGATGAGAAATGTGCACAAAATATCAATGAAATACGTCAACGATTGTGGCCAAATCAGCGAGAACGACAAGCTGAGCAGAAAGCTCGAGAGGCTAAGGAAAAGGAGGAACGTACGAAGAGAGCACGCGAAAGACAACAAAAAGTCATGGAGGAATTTGCAAATAAACAAAAGCAATTTATGGCAACGGCAGCAAATTTAATGGAAGGAATTGATGATGATGAAAATGATGTAGAGGAAGCGCGTGAGAAGGAATATGATTGCATTATTTGTAATTGTACAGGTCCGTCGACAGAATCAAATCCAATTTGTCTTGTTGTTCTCGTCGAGTCAAGTAGCATTGTTGGACATCGTAGAAAATCTCCTAGTCGTTTCCCTCTACCGGTTTGTGATGAAGATAAGGAAATTCCCGGACGTAATGTTCGCTTAAGTAGCGAGTTTAGAAAACGTGCTGAAATATTAGGTCGTAAATATGGAACGCAATGGTTCTTGACCCATAATATATGCTGGGAAGGTGGAGTTCATGTTCAATCTTGTGGACATCATGTTCATCTTACATGCCATGAATCGTATCTTAAATCTCTGGCTCCAACACGACCTCAAAACCTTAATATTGAACATGGTGAATTCTCTTGTCCACGTTGTCGACAACTCGCTAATTCCGTATTACCTCTCAGTCCACAACTTGATCGTCCCACATCGGTTATTAGAAATCCAGCACCAGATTTTGATCGTCTTTGTGTAGAATTAATGGAATTAATTAAAGACAGTCGTAGACCAAATACAACGTCAAAATTGGAAGAAGCAATGGTAACAGCAATGGAAAGTATGACAAATAGCACAAGGAATATTAAGAAATATCATGCAGAAGCGCTTTATCAAAATCCACCGACAAATGAAAGTTTATTTGCTTTCGTGACATCTGTAGCCCGAACAAATCTCGAATCGGAAGTGATTCAGAGAGGAGGATCATTATGTACTTACAACGATATACGTTATCGTCCTAAACGTGAATGTATTGTTCCATTATTACATGTTTTATCATTTCATGTGAGATTGATGATAAATAGCAAGAATTATCCATTTGGAAATCAAGAATGGTCTATGGATAGGACATGGGCGTCATTGTGTGGAATTACCAATGTTGATTTCTCCGTGCCAGTGCCTTCATATTCGAGTGTTGATAAAATGCCAAGTCTCATTACTGATCCATCTGCACAATTAATTAAATATCTATTATTAGCACCGCTGCAACTAGATCAAGGTAGGTCATAAATTCATGATTAGTCTGATGATTACTGTCCGTTATATTTCAAATATTTTGAGCCTAATTTAAGTTCAAAAATTTCAAATGTTTTTTAACCGTTAAATTTTAAATGTTTTTCGAATGTTAAATAATTTGTTTTCTCACTTTACTCCAGCATACTTTACTAGCATTGTCAAAGTAATGTATAACTTACTTTATTATCAAATTGTCCTGCAATTTTGTATCCGTTTGACGGAAGAGGAATGTGAAGAAGTGATTAAAAAGTTCTCAGAAGCACCGAAAGTGGTTGAAAATGGAGTTCCGAATGTGGGTACAGCAATGGCATTGGTGTTAAATAATTTAGATCGTTGTAAGAACTTCCGTCAAGATCCATACGAAAATGAATTTGAATATGACGATGATGATATAGAAATGAATGAAGCAGGAACTTCAAAAGTGAATGCGACAGTTGAAATGAAAGACTTGGACACAAAGCTTAAAGAGTTTGAATTGGAATTACAGTCACTTTGTCTACCGTATTTACGTAATGCAGCACTTTTGCGTCATCATATTTATCATCAGGAAATGCCTGAAATTAAAGAACCGAGATTGGAATTTGCACGGCTTGTCTACTTCCTTGAACTTGTAACGAAAAGTATGGATTGGAAGAGATTTAATGCATCAAAGGCTTTATGCTTTGCTAAAAATATGGAACTATTCTTACCTATCCATTGGTGCCAAGAACTAAAAGAATCACGTCCACCGCATGACACAACTCGAGAATTAATTGTGAATCAGCATTTAGAATGGCATCAGCCACAATTATTAGCATTACCTCGTGAATATGAGAGACTGTTTACGGTAAATTTTGAGATTAGTTCCTTAAATGACTCCGTGTCTGACTATGTCTTTCTTTTAATTGTAGTATTATTACGAACAAGCATGTCTTAAATGCTCAAATATACCAAAGGAGAGTTCGATATGCTTGATTTGTGGTAAAATTGTTTGTCTCAAACAAATGTGCTGTAAGGAACAGGATTGCTGTGAAGCTGTTAGGGTAAGTTGATGTAATTTCTGAATTAAGTTGAATATTTGGATTTAAATAAATCCTGGACTTAATCCTTTGATTAAATATAAATCTTAAGTATTTTTGCTTTACAATTCCATCAGTTGACTAATAATTCTCTCTATTATGATTAATTTAGCATGCAATAACTTGCGGACGAGGAACTGGTGTTTTCTTGGTCGTTACATCAACATTTATCATCATTGTTCGCGGCTCAAGAGCTTGCCTGTGGGGATCTTTGTATCTTGACGGATATGATGAAGAGGATCGAGACTTAAAGTGAGATTTTTATTGCCTTCTTAATTAAATTAATCCAATTCCTTTATTATATTGTCATTTTGTAGACGCGGAAAGCCTTTATACTTATCCAATGATCGCTTCAATTTGCTGGAATCTCAATGGTTGTCACATCGCTTTGGTCATATAAACCGTTCCTGGGTTTTTCATCGCGATTCATTGTAAACGAATAGAATATTTTAAAATAATACGTTGTTTATTATTTTTTGAGAATTTCTTATGCGAAAATTAAATGTGATAAATTATTAAACGGCTCAATTATGAAAAGAAATTGAAAAATTTGAAGAAATTGAAAAAAATTTGATTGACATTTTTTGGATTAATCTTTTATTCCTATTATAAAAATTATTATTATTATCAACTATTAATAAATAATCCATATTATATTACATAGTTATGTTTTCTTCAATGATATTAGATGCACAATAATCATTGCAGTATAATGACTGAAATCTTATTTCTATCGAGAAAAAAAAAACGCTAATGCCGACTTCTGGTATCATTTGAAAATATCCTGTATATTTATGCACATTATTTTGTTGAAATATAATAATGAAATAAAATAAAAACAGCTTAATAAAACAACAAAACTCTTGCTGCATTCCTATTATTCTGCTTCTTGTCATCATCTTTCACGAACAAATCTTACTTGTGAAATTTATTACAGGAAAATCACAAATAATGATTTGTTCCTATTGATCCACTGTGAATTATAGGGAAAATCACAAAAAGCTAGCCATTAATTCAGCCCATCGTTGGTGAAAACTTATTTAGATATCATTTTCAGATAGAGATTAAAATCTATCGATCAAGGATTTTGAAGTAAAAATTAACATCAAAACTTCATATTTCATTTCAATTTTAACATTTAACTTAGAAATTTTCAAATTTGGAATTATTGTAGTTTGTGTTACAATTCTTTGAGTCATATTTTGACACCAGCCTGAATTTCATCAACCTTTCTGATGGAAAGAATTTATTGTAAGCCGATGAAGATTTGATTTTTACTAATTTGCTTGGAAAACTATTAGCTGCATTACGTTTTAAAGAGTATCTCCCTTCAAGTTCCTTTCTTGCTTGTTCTTTTGAAAATTGACATCCATCTAATGTAAAGCTCTTAAATTTCCATAAGAATTGACTGTATTCAGCACTATTTTTGCATCCAATTATCTAGTTTCAACAATTATTTGTTTGTTGAGTTTCTCTGCATAATTGATATTGTATGTTGCTGATTAATCTCTTGAAATGATGAGTTACTTGCAGCATTCACTGAATGTGATGTCGTTTGGTTAAAGATGGAAAATTGTTATTGTGGCTTGACTTTTGGTTTTTTTATTCTCTTGAAATATGAAATGAACGATGGACACAGTCTATAGGGGCCGTTCACTTATTACGTTCGCATTTTAGAGGGGAGGTGGTTTGAAAAAATGTAACATAAGGGGGGGGGGGGGGTGTCATGAACTTTGTAACGTTCTAACTGTCGTCTGTCTTTTAAAAAAAAAGTTCACGAAAAAAATTTGTTGTGTCCAATATTAATAATAATATGAATAAAGAAAACTATGATGAATTATGAACGTTCGGGGGGGGGGGGGGGGGGGGGGGTTGTGAGTTGTAACATTTTTACAAGGGGGGGAGGGGTGTGAAAAAAGTCCTTTTTTTGCGTAACGTAATAAGTGAACGGCCCAATAGCGTTTATAGCTTGATTCTTTGGTGAAATTGGATGCCTCGAGACCGTAGAATACTGACAATTGAGGCATTGTCCTCAATATTGCTGACTATGACTTGTGTTCAAACAGATGATGAAATTTTTAATGTAGGCTTAACCTGAAAATTGATTTAAGAGATAATTTTTCTCACTTCCTTGAAGTTTTTCGAAAAAAAAAGGTTTTTCAGCCTTTGAAGCTGTTGCTAGAATTTTTGGTTCCTCCGTTAAGTTATTTTGTGGAACTTGTTTCCCTTTCTTCTTGAGATTTTGTTTTGAACCGCTCGGAACTTTATCAAAGTCCATTTTTGAACTTAAATCCTGCTTTCTTTGACTCAGCCATTTCAAATAGGGAGTAGGAGGCACTAAACATTAAATTAAATAGTTTTCGCAACTATTAATGACTTTGAAACTGTTATTTTAATTCAATGAAAATTTTCCACCTGCGATACAACATTAAAGAATTTTGATATTTTTCAAAGAATAGCTGTCGACTGTTTAAAATTTGATGGTGAATACCCTAAAATCAGTATCCTGTAATGTAAGAAATAAGTCAAAAGACACAAAATTTCGCTCTTGAAAAAATTGTTTTTATTATTTTGCATTCAAAAAAGTAGTATCCGAAAATATTTCATTAATGACGGCTATTGCAATTACTGTGTGGATGAATTTCATTTAAACTTTATGAGTCTATGACAATTCTGTATTTGACAACTTTTCAACTTATTCAAAATAAAGATTTTTACAATTTCTTCTTTGTAATTTTGATGCTATAAGATTCAACAAAGCTATGAGTCATGCTTTAGCCAAAATAAAACATTTTTAAACGCATTTCTCAAAATAAAAATTTTTCTCATAAATTAATTTATGTCTCATGTAAAGCTTTCAGTCTCGCATTAAAAATAAAGTGAAGATTGGAGCTGATTAGAACTTGCAGAAATTAAATTTAAGGATCCATGATCAAGGGAAATTTTCACTTTAGTACAAAATCAGTCCTTAACTTCGTTTTAGTAAATGGATATGACAAAAGGGATTCAAAACTTTTCACAAAAGTCTAATCAGCTTCAATCTTCAATAATAATTATCATGTATACATAAAGTTTGTAAGGAAATAAGCAATGCATGGAGACTTGTGGCAGTTCTAAGTGCTGATCATTCGGTATCTCTGACAAATGACATCCATTAAGAGTTTTGATCCTCAATACTTGAATCAACATTTGTCAAAGCTAAGCACCGAGTACTTCCGCAAACATCCACGCCTTTGAAAAAGTAAATAAAAAAATATTTTCTTGGAAAATTGTTTAGGAAGCCAAGCACAATGCCTTTTTTATGCGTTCAATAGATTAATAACTAGCTAACAATTTCATTCATAAGTATAGATATTGTTGATATATATGTTGATTCCATCATAAAGTCAAATTAAGATAAGGTTTATGAGATAGATCAGGAGGAATAAAAATGAAGCATTTAAAGAATTTCTTGCAGATAACAACATAATTATATTAGATATATATCCTTAACTATGTACACAATTGATTTACAAAAAAAAGGGGGAAATAAACTGTTCAGTTACTTATTAACTATTCTTGGCATCATCTTTTTACTTAATATACTTATATGTATGTTCTGGGAGTCCTTGCTTTGCATAGATTAAATTTTTCTCAATCTTAAGCAATTCAAGAACTCCCTATGATTCAGAAACGCATCCAGTAAGGTCAGACACCCATTTGGATACGCCTCTGTGTATTATCATTAGTAAAATATCTTCATTTAAATTAAAATCAGTCACTTCATTCAGTTTTTTCTATGCCCTAATCCTCCATCATGTGTTTATGTATTCAGCATCTAATTTCGTAGTTTATGCTGCATAACTACCATTTCACCATAGTTTGTGTCACCAAAAGAAGAAGATCGCTAATCTGACGATAATGTACAATGCAAGGAACATGTTTTTTTATGATTAGAACCTGATATCCTCTAAATATTTGTTGTTTAACTTTGTTTAACTGTTATTTTGATTCTCTGACACGTATAGCGACGTAATGAGGTTCTCAAATTGATTTGATTCATCCTCAAATTTTTCAAGCTGTTTCGCAAGATCTACCTCAACGTCGTCTTTCTGCTCATCTTGTACTTCCTCTACTGTCGACGAGAATGACTCTAATGGAGGTGCGTTGAAACATTCACGATAGAATTTCGCGAGATCACCAATTGGAGATTGATTTGCAAATGGAAATTGCTATAAAAGAGAGAATTAAACAATTATTAGTTATTGCCATTAGCATGTCTATTAAAGCAACAAAATATTTACCAATTCTTTCAGTAGCTTTTCATCTTCTTTATTCTCTCGTAACGACCATCTTGATTGTGACTTTAATGAACTTGGCGATGTACCACACAGATTATCTTTTGGTGATTGTGATAATTTGGCTGCTTCAGCGATTCTGCTGTTAATGCTACTAAGATTATTATTATTATTATTATTTGGTGACGAGTTCTCATCATTTTGCGAGCTTGACAACTTCTCGTCTTCATTCTTGTTCTCTATTGCTTCTTCGCGAGGCTTTCTTAGCAGCCAATTAAATGGAGGCGTTTCAGGTAGAATAAAGTCATCTTCTGTATACTGTCTAATTCGACTGGCATCAACAAATGCTCCACATCTCATTGGCTTATCCAAGTCAATTACCTTCTTATCATTACTGAAATTGAAAGTGAATCATTGCATTAGCTACAGTGTCTATTTACAAAAATCATAGTGCTGATAAAAAATTACTATATAAGTAGCTTCCATCTGTTTACTATAAAAGTCATCATTATGAAGTTTGTTTCATGAATAAAAAAAAAGCCTTAATAAAACACAGGGATCATCTTATTACGCTGATATGTATTTTCTCTCAATTGCGTCTTATTTTTTTCGCTAAAGAAACTTCTAAAGTCATCAATAAGCGAAAAAAAAAGCCATTAAATTTCAGCTAATGAAGCTTTGACCCCGTGACGCAAATCTCATGTTCTCTTATGAACATCCTTTAATGATATTGCAGAGTTGTCGTCATTGTCCTCTTTACGCTACATGACTTTTCACTTTTTAGGTTCTTCAAAGTGGAATCAAATTCGAGTTTCGTAAAAACTTGCTGACAAAGGGATTTGATGCGTTCCTTCATCCATTCATTCCTCCAAAGCTATGAGCTCAAATAAAGCACATCTGGACATCTTAACTTGTAAGGAAATGTGAGCCAACATTGCTATGACTAACTTTCTAGTAGCTTTAATAAAGTTTGAGCAATGCACTGCAATGCGAGTTTGCACAGTTGTTTAAGGAAATGTGTGGGTTATTCGTGGGATGTTGTGGATTATTGTTTTATTTCAACGAATGCATTTGTTGGTATTTATCAATTAAACCTGCTTCTTTAGTATCTAGGAATTTAATTAAAGTGAAAGCGGGTTTTTAGTCTTTGGAATTTTAATAGAAAAAGGCTGGCAAAATTTTTGATCAATTCCAATTTTATGTGTGTTTTGGGGGTCAAGATGATAATACGATTTGATGACAAAGTCTACAAACTTATTGTTTTGTGCTATTTAAATATTTTTAACGTCTTATTGGTCTTAATCTTGAACTTCTTAAAGGAATAAAATCGTGATTTAGCATTTGAAGTTTCTGTTTTAAACTTAACGTCAGTAAATTTAATCAAGTGAGAACAACTCAGTCCAAATACTTTTAAGTTCCCACAAAAATCAACAAAAAGGCTAAGACTTGTCGCATTGCTCAATAAACCTAAGGATTGATTTATGCATGCAAAAACTATTTTTTTAACGAGAATTTTCACACTTGGCAGCTGTGAAGCAGATATGAGACTTTGAGCAATAACGCCCCACAATTCAGTGAGAATTTCCTAGGAATTTAAACTACACACTGTCGTAGTAAATTTGTTATTAATTAAGATTCATGACTTTTAAAAAACTTTAGAATTTTGTCAGCATTTCAATTAGCTACAGCATCGATATCAGGCTTTAAAAATTCTTCCTAGAAACACAACTTTTCAATTAATATCCACAAATCAACTCTGTGGTCAGCACAAAGCCCCACAAACCGGTTTAATAGATGAACTATAATTCTTTATCAGCTTTGATCACGAACACTTAATTCACTTATTAATACTTACTTCTTTTTATTATAATTTGTATATCTTAGATGTTTTGGACTCAAGTCTTTAAGGAAGTGATCACTCTTCAACATAATTGTATTATCACGTCCAGTTGGCGTCGGTGAAATTGTCATTTTTGTTCTGTATGCGACAGCCATTGTAATTGTACCGATTTGTGTTGTCAATTGCCCGATACGAACTTGCTTATAAGATTCGCCTGCAAATGATAGAAAGCAAATGAAATGAGTAAGTATAAAAAAATTATTTTAGTGCTGAATCACAACTACATCTTCATATTTTTTAATGACATCACAATATTTTATTTACGCGATAAGACTTGTAATTAAGTTGTGTGCAAACAAGCTAGTACGAGTACGCTTTATCGTTTCGTCTCTTTCTATCCAATTGCGAGCAACTCCATTGAGATTATTTATTATCAGAGCAAAATATTCATCTAATCAAAAATATTCTCATGCGATAATTCCAAATGATTTGATTTGAACTTTATTAGAGTCGCTAGCGAAGACATTGCACTTTCATACTTTAAAAATTTTCTGGGCCATAAAAAAAATTGCAAATTGAGATTCATTTTACTTTTTAATTAGTCAAACTTTGTAGTATGTTAATTAAGCCACAGCTACGTATTCATGTGACCGTTAATGTCATTGACAGATAGTCCTCAATTCAAGTAAATAGCTTATTCCTGATGAGTTTTGCAACTTTTTTTCGAGTCACTTTAAATTTCTAATGAATGAATAAATATCATAGAAATTTTTTTATAGCTTGTAACTTTTAATACATTCACTTATGGGGTTACCAAAGGAGCTGCTTAATATTCATCGTGTTGCTTAATTCTTTTTCCTAGAAATTTTAAAATACGTGCAAAATAGCCATTAAGTTATAGCACTCACGTTATTCTATCTTATCATTAACCTTAACATGATGCGTAGTTCCAACAAAGATAACTTTTATCTCGAATCTAATTCCTTTGATATGTGAGACTCAAGGGATCAAGATTAGAGGCTTTATTTATGATTGTTTTGCACTTTGAGAACTGTCAACTTGGATTCCTCTAGCTTCTCATCTTAGGAGATATTGAGTCAGGCGATGGAATTTCATATCTGACAATTTTCAGCTACAAAACATCATTAGCATTTAAAATACTTTAAAAATAAACTTAGTGTATTAAGTTATAGATATAAATGTGGTTTTGGAATAAAACAACACCATAATGGGAAATACCGACTTTGTTTTGATCATCTTACTCATGAATTTGAAGTTATTTTTAGACAGACATTGGAATTAGAAATGGTAATACAAAAATATAATAATACATTAGCTCATGCTAGCTCAATATGGTGTAAATGAGCGATTAAATCCAAATCTATGAATTGATTCATAAATTCTCAATATAGCTTAAAGTTCATACAGATGCAGATGTGTCTCTCCAGGTTCATCCGGGAACCAAATTACATTCTTTAGATCTATATTTCATATAATTACAAAACAATGCTCAACAAAAACAGTTCATTTATCACCCTTTTATTATTGACATCAATTCCGCTCAAATCAAGTCTAGTGACTCGATTCCAAGATTCTATTGACTTAGTGTTGACAAACAAAAACATCTGATGTAACAGAATATATAAAACATTGTGTCCAATTAACAGAATAAATAAATAAAAGCTTCCCATACCTAATCACGTGTTTATCATTTACAAACTTATTGTTTTTTCAAGGAAGTGATTAAACTGCTAACAGTTCTCGATTTACATATGTGACAATTTCCTATTATTGTGGATAAATGTTTACTTAAAGAACCAGTTTTAATCGACTTCACTAAAGACTGTTCCGTCAAAACAAAAAAATTAAAGCTTTGGAGTTTCATTCCGAATGTTTGTTTACGACCTTCACGGACTCTAGTTGTAAGAGAACGAAAAAATGTTGAGCAGGTTAAGTAGATTTCTCTCTATGTCTAATAACATGCTTGAATGTGAAATGTTGAAACTATCGAAATGATATAATTATAGACATTAGTCTGTTTTATAATGTTTTGAAGGAATAAATTATGTTCTTGATTGTATTTAAGTTCTTACAGTTTATGACTTTATTGCTGTATGAAAATTGATTAGAAAGAATTTTCGGAAATAGCAAGGTTCAAAATCGACAATAAGCTAAAGCACCTTTCAAAACGAGGTCCTTTGCTCTGGACATTCAATATTCGCATTACATGCTACTCCAGTCAATATAACTTTTCAATTAGAAACAACAGCAATTTCGAAAGGAATTAAGCAGGGAGTAATAAACAGCAGATAATAAATTATCATACATTGCTTAAGCATAGCAACTGACCGCTGTGAGAATTTGTTTTTCATTATTTACTGCTTTCATGAAGTAGCTTAATCAGGTAATGCGGTTTTTCCACTCGAGTGTACACTAAGTTTCTTGTGGAACTAGCAGAATGCTTTAATTTGAGAAACTTAGCCACCGAAAGAGAGTCGTGGAATTTCACGTATTCAATTTTTTTAGCTTAATGTCAATTAAGTCTTATTAAAAAGCCATCAAGCTTGTTTACGGATATATTAATGAATTTACAATTGCAGTCACTGACTTGTTATTACATTGTCATTATTGAATGAGGGAAAGTGATAATAATTTCAAAAAAAATTCCATCAAAGCTTTTATTAATTCAAATTTGATTTCAAAAATTAAATAAAAATATATTTAAATTAATTTAATTCCAAAAACTATATGTGCATTTCAATTGACTGTATACTTAATGCACAGCTGTGTATGAATTCTATTAAAATGTGTAAGTTCGTATACATTTGCAATTTATTATAAAAATGTGAAATATTTTTTTTTCTTTATTTTTATGGCGCCAGCTTTAAGTCTAGGTGTCAAGGAATGGCTTGTAGTATTAAATGTCTTGTTACAGATAATAAGCTTTAATCTCAATTAACTAAACCATGCAAAATATTCATTTGCTTGACGCTATTTATGTCTCAAAGGTCGAAATTCATCATTCAAAAAAAGTTTCGCTGTACTTTGGATGTAAAGCAGCATGCAGAGTTGACATGAATATGGCTATGACGTAGATGAAATGACCTTTAAGAAGTTTACGTCAGTGACTTTTGAAGATCTTTTGGAATTTACTTTTCTTGGGCATTTTGTGTAAAAGGGAATTGTGGGATCATGTGGCTTCTTCTTTTGTAATCTACAGAAGTGAATTCATGATCATGTGGGGGTTTCGTAATAATTGAGCACCGAAGCACAAAACCAACGAGCAAGTTCAACAAAATCATAAATTATTATAAAACCACCAAAACCAACTCTGATTACACAACAAAATAATTAAAGCTTGTTGCGGCGTTGCTGACGAATTAAAAACAAAATATGCAATTTAAAAATACTCTAACACGATCACGACTTTTTAAGCGCATAGAGCTAAATATAGCATTGAGCAGAGTATTTGCAAATTCAATCAATAAATCTCTTAAGCTGAAGCTGATCTTCAAGGCTATTCATCAGGAAATTCATTCGCTCTAAGTCAGTGGAAAATTTTTCCTCCTTTCCTTTTTTTTCATCCATAGACTTTATTATTTCATAAACAATCAGAGTTGTTTGTGCTATATTGTTTAATTTCTTCAAAGAAAAATAAGATCCAAGTGCAAATAAAATGTGAGTAAGTTGCTAACAGTCGATTCCTTATCAGCACATCGCGCGAAAGTGCATACAAATATTTATTATTCCCACTAAGTTGTAATACTCAGCAGAATTTTCAATAAAAAACAACTTAAGTGCTTATTTTAAAATTTTCACGTGACGTACGACTCGAGGCTTATCATTTTTTTTTAAGATTTTAAAGTTTTGCATTTTCTTTTACATATGTATACTTTTATGACGATAATAATAAGAATTCATTACAAATATTTTCCAATAAGAATTTCTAGGTTGCGATAAAATGTAACAATAATGTGACACAATGTGTTTTATGGCTTTTGGCACTGATTTTAACGTGAAGAATTTTAAAATGTGATGGCATGAATTGAGTTGATATTTTTTGATGAACGTTTTCTGATTTTTTCGTGGACACGTGATCCTGTTATGGCTTCTTTTACAGCTGAAATTTATTACTATCACCAAGGCAACGATTAAGGCATTCTGTAATATTCATAAAAATCAACAAACTAAAAGTAATATCTTACAACTGTCCAGAAGTCGAACAAAACAATTAGGTACTAAGCACAGCCCTTCTTGTAACCTTAGAGCAATTATTTTCTGTTGACACACGAGTCTAGAATATTCCCTGAATGTAAGAAAGCTATTTTTTCAAGCGTTTCTTCCCCTAGATTTATTTATTTATATTCCGAACAATCGAGAAACCAAAAAAATTATAGGAAATGACTATGTTTCAACATTTTTGTTGGGTAATAAAATATTAAAGTTTAAAATCAATGATAAGTGAAACCCAAAATAATTGACAAGGTAAATTGGTTGTGTATTTAACAACAATGAAAGCTTTTAAGTGTAGCTTTAATAATCTATCATAATATATCCAGAATAATGACTAGGAATATCCCATGATTAAAAATTCACATAAGAATCTAAGATAAACAATAATAATTATGCATAATTTTTTTTTTTGCAATTTTACGGACAAAACAATTTATAATCTGAGAACTAACTGGCGCCAAATGCATCACTAATATTTATTAGACTTATTTACAATAGAAATTATTTTTATTTTCTTTCCTCAAGTTATGTAAAGTGACGTGACATTTATCGCTGTAACGTGACAATTATGTACACAACAATTACAGGAAAAAAGTAACATTGTGTTGATAAAAGTCACCAAGTTTTTTTTTCTTTCAAAAATTCAATTCACTGAAGTATGAAAGTAAAGAGTGGCTAAAAAATTTCTTATAGTAATACTTTTGGACCTGACTACGCCAATGTACTCGAAAAAACTTATTTTCAATTAAACGCTCACATGACAATTCCAGCGAAGTGATTCACTCTAGCCAATGATAAAAAAAAATCCCGAGTATTATAATAAAAGTATGTATTCGTGTCGTTGGTGACTGACTTCCTCGATGACAGTTTATTTTTGAGAATATAAACTTGTGGATATATAAGGAGGACGTGCATTCGTGACATTTCTCATGCACTTTTGCAAAAAGGAACTAAAAATAGACATCTATCTACTTATATATGCACAGAAAGTCATTAATATGAAGGCTTGTTTACAACTTTTCTGTAGTTTATTTCTCATCTTAATAACTTATTCATTCATAACTGTTTGTGTCTATTTTTAACTTATTTTTGCGTTTACATATCCCATTTTAAGCATGCAATCATAATCTCCGAAAAGATTCGTGCATGTGTGCTGCTACTTAGTCCAAATATCAACAACTTTCGTTTTTATAATACTATTAATTGATATTAATTTGATGATATTCAGCAAACAATAACAACAATACCATAATTTGCTTACACAACAAACAGCAAATAGCACTTTAGTATGAGTAAACATACTTAGCAATACTAATAATAATTTGATTTGATAAGAAGAGAGTCAATGACATTCTAATTAAACTGAGATTGTATGTTCTTGAGTGTATTTGAGGCAAATTCTTATAGTAGATGCAAAAATATTTAGTCGCATGCTCGAAAAAAAAACGGTCAAGGTTGAAGCAAGTGTACGAATATGATCAGCATGGAAGGCTTATATATGCTATATGCAATATTACTTCAGTCTCGTTCGTACTTGAAATTTTATTCTTTGTGTCATTTTGTATTGATTATTTTTTTTGTTTGGAAGAAGACGGAACTGAAATTGGGTTAACGATTCAAGCAGACCTTGAATATGGAAAGTAACTTACTATCCACAATTCTACTACAACCCCATTTTCTAGTTTGTGAAGACATAATTGTGATTTATAATTCAACATTATCATGGTTAAAAAAATTCAATTAGACTCACCTAAATTGTAGGGTTGTGGTTCACCACTATAAATTCTATAATAGATACTAAATGAATCAGGGTTCTGTCTTCTGCTTAGTTTATATGCTGGAGTAACACGTGTTATTGATATTAAAGATTTTAACAATATACTCATACGATTATAAACTGTATAGTTTGCTTTTAATGATGGATCACTTGAATCTGTATTAATGTTAAGTGACCAAATCTCTAATAACATTTTATCGCCCTCAACAGTCTGAAGGCTGATTTCCACACATAATGGCAAACGATTCGTTACTGTCTCACTTTGACTCAATTGTAATGCCTTTTTTGTCTCTGCTAGCACGTCAGGATGATCCTGTATGGCAATATTAAACTGGAAAGATAGGAAATGACAGTAAAGAATTAGTTTATTATGCATACGAACGACATCAATATTTATATTCGGGGAATTTCCATGAATTTAGAATAAATAAATTACAAGTCATGATCATTCTTTCTTTATCATTTTATACGTGGAATTATTCTCAATTCCTTTCTGTTTACAAAAAACTGTTTGCACAAAAATAAGCCTCAAAGTCCACAAGCAATACTAAAGGTTACATTCGATAAATTCTTTACGAATCAAGAACCATCCATAAAGAAATTTTGAAATTTGATCCCTGATCTTCGCATATAATTTGCTCTGCCATTTAAGCTTGAATATTTTCACAATAATATGACTTTGACTTTTTCTTTAACGATCCTCTCAAATATCATTGAAGTGTGACTTCTTATGCATATTTATTAGCTATTGTCTGGCTTTTGCAAACTCAGCTTATCAACGAGCATGTAAGAATATAAATGGCTTCATATTTAAACCTGCTGAATCATAAGAAATTTATGCTGCAAATAATAATTGCACAACAAACCTAGTATGACTATGTTAAACGGATAATGAACGCCAAGTGCCAACAAAATAAGTTTTATATTTATAAACTCACTGACCTAATAAAGAAATAATGAAATCAACAAATAAATATATATGTAGCTTTAATTTAATTATGAAACCACAAATAAGTTCCAACAAAGCACATACCAGAACTTAAAAACCGTAAGCATGTGACGATAAAACAAACGTTTGTTTACAAGAAACGAAAAATATACAAAAATAAGAACAATGTCATCTATAATAAACAGCATGTATCACAAAATTATCTTCCTGATTCCTAAAAATATAAAAACGACCTTGCCAACCGGAATTTTTTTTTCTACTCTATGAGTGTTGTTTACAACTTTACATGACTGAGGGTTTGTTTATAAATAACATTCAACTTCTAAAACTATGAGGCACTTCGATACACATGAAGCTAATTGTATGAAGATAATAGGAGAGAAGTAATCATAAGGACGTCATTTTAGAAACACAGACTGATGTAACATATTCTTTATACATTATTCAACAGACTAAGCACACTCATAATAAGGCTAATAAAAGTTTTAAGTATGAGCAGCAATAATTATTGTAAAATTTGCATTGGACACCTGATCACAATTGTGGAATTCTTCGAATTCTTTTCATTGTTTTATAATGATCGATTTGAATACAGATTGCATAACTTATGCAATAAAAGCAATTTCAAGGACATTCGAAGTGTTAAATTCAGCTACTAATTAATAATTATAGCCTTTAAGTATTTCTCAAAAACCCTTATAAATTACGTTCGTATAGTTTTATCATGGACATTATTTTTATCAAACAATAGGTTTCATCACAAAGCCTTTGTTTTACTAGCTACTCAAAAAAGCACATAGAAGCAACAGCTTAAAAATATCTTTTTTCATTTCCAAATGAATAATTCAATCAGCTATAATGAATTGGAAATGATTATCGTTTTGCGATGTTATGCAATTGATTAGGTTATGGAAGATTAAATCGATTGGAAATTATTCGAAACTCATGAAATTGGTGTAAAAGTGAAATTTCTATAGCTGTCAACTTTCTATCAATCAAATTTTTTAAGTAACTTATTTCGTGCGTTATTTTTATGAAGATTGGGATTTTGAGATTTACTGTAGCTGACTTATTGTCTAGAAACATTTCTAATGGATAACTGGTTTTACTCAAGGACTGTTGAATTTTTATGACAGCCATCTGCGGTTTGATAAATCTTATGACTTAAAATTGATACAAGTAGTTACGATAGTTTGGAAATAAAATTATTAAGTTGAGAGTTTTAATTGGAATTTGAATGTGTTGTGGCAATGTGGGTTAGTCATTTTTTAAGGAACCTTTTTTAAGGCAAGAGACTGTAAACATTTTTATGCAGTTAAAAAAAAAGGCAAAAGATTGAATTTTTTTAAATCTTAATTTTAATGAAAACCTCGGTTAAATTTCTAGTAAATTCGTAGTGTTCGTTGATAAATCAAAGAATTACTGGCAATAGATTTCCTTTAGAAAATGAAACCGTTCAAAGCAAGTAATATCTATTCAAGGAAGTCCCATACCCCATTCCAATTGCAGAGCTCCTAAGACCAAGCCTATATGCGCTTAAAATAATACAGCATAACAAACTCGCAATACAATTAAACTAATATTTCATGTAACTGTCATGTCATGACTCAAATAATGTAAAACACACAAAAATATTTATTTTGAGTGTGGGGTGATGGTGCAATTGTTCAGTACTCAGAAAAAATAATAATTCCAAACACAAAGAGGAAGAAGACGAGCACATGAAAATATATACATAAAAATCTTTGCCTGCTTATCTTATTCGTATCTCTGTTTTGTACTGATTTTCGTATTTTTTATTGCTCATTGTACTCGATGTACATTAAGGTGCTGCTTATTTTAAACATTGGATGAAAACATTATTTTTTGCTCTCTTAACATGATCAACTCGAGAGAAACCAAGACATGGGATGAAAAAAAGAATTAAGAGAGATGAAAAAAGATTTACTATTATTGAGCTATTTATAGCTCACAGCGAATTCCTTTCTTCTAAATATGCACATAGAAAAAGAAAAACAACTCAAACTCAACTCATTCATTGAGTACAGCGTACGACAAATCTATTTTAGTTGCCATTTATCTCGAAATATGCATTATTTTTGCCAACGCGGCAAATATTTTTTTGCCTGTTTTTCTTTTTTTTCCTTCGTTCAGTCGTGGAGCAGGCGAATAGAAAATTTTATTGATTTTAAAGCAGAGACACTTACTCGTCTAAATAAAAAGTGGTCCGTAAGAGAATTCAAAACACGTTTTTTTTTTCTTGTCGAGATAAGCGTGTAAAAAATTTATGCTAATATCTTCACAAAAACAGGTTCATCAAACTTCTTATTATTTTCTTATAATCACTTAGTTTTGTTATTCTCACTTAATTAGCTTCTCAACTTTTTTAAGTCACAAAAAATATCGTCTCTTTTTTTATTAACGAAAAAGCGTGGGCTTTCCTTACTTTCAATATTTTCACTTGAATTTGATTTTTCCACAATAAAATTATCAACACAATTAAATTATTTTTTTTCTCCACAATTGTGTGATATCAATAAGTTCAAAATATAGCTATAATTATATCCACAAAAACCGGATGAAACTTTATTCACTCAAGTCTGTTTCGTAAATGAATGTCGAATAACGAAAAACTCTACGAAAAGGCAAGTCTACATGAAATACACACACCCAAGCTTCAGTGGCAGATGTGTACAAATGTCTATTTATCCAACGTGAAACTCATGCTGTAACTGTTTTAACGAAATCGATTTTTTCATGTCTGGGTTTCACACATTCAAAAAGGCAAGCTTTATGAACGTATTAGTGAAATTTTGTATCAGCACAAAATTCCATTTGTGTCGCATTCATTTAGCGCATGATGTTGTGTATGTTCATGAATGAAAATAATCCACGTAATGCTTTAGGAATTGCAATTGCTGCATACTTTAAAGAGTCATAAAAAAATAGAAAAAAAAAATTCGAGTGTTGAGAAAGAAGTTGAATACATTCCAATGGATATTAAAGAATGTTTCAAACACAGCACTTTGGCGCGAAGTTTGTTCGAGATCATGCCACCTCACAAATACATTGACAGTGCTTCTTTTATGACTTTTAATAATAATAACAAAAATTATTGTACATTTTCTTTCATCTCTCCCAGACATTTTCCTTCTATACGCATGCTATAAGCTATATTATAGATATCTGTAGACATTGTCTGAATCACGTATACACAAAATTCTCTCTCCCTCTCATACGCCTACCTCATTCCTACTCAATTTCATCGACTTTCTTTGTAGAGTCTAAAGAACTCCCCTTATTTATTATTTGATTTGTCAAACGCATCGAGGTCATTTACAAGAATCATCTTTTTCTCTTTCCGTTCTACTACTTGTGCTGTGTGCTGTGTATACAAAACAAAAACATTTTCTTCAAATCAATGCAATTTGTTTGTAAACAGGCATTACACACTTACTCGCTCTATATCATCGTCATAATATTTTATTACTTCCATAATTCGTCCTTCATAAAGAGAAAAATAAGAGTTTACCTTACTTCAGTGCCATTGTGCTCGAGAAAAACAAATTGAATTCAAAATAAAAATAATGTGGAATGTGGAAAAAGTCATGTAGGCACTCAATTTCCACTCCTAATTCACACCGAAATGGCAAAAATTTGCAAAAGATAAGATGCTCAAATCAGTGTTGGTAACTCATATTCATGAGTCGCGAATCTCAATTGTTTCAGACCCCAAGAATAAGTATCATATCTAGAAGATTCACACCAATTATTATAGACGATTCAGTTTCAGTCAGCTTGACTCGAACATTTAAATAGCAACACTGAATAACAATTTATTGGTTTTCTTCTTAAATTCCCTTTCATTGTGGTGCACGTGTTCTTAATAAAGAAATCCGATCTGCTGTTTCTCGATTTCTTATTTATTTAAATTTTAAATCGCAATTTCATTCAAAATGACTTTTTTCGGCGAAAATGATGCAGGCAGGCGTGAAATTACATTTAATATTATAATCTGCGGCATTTTAAAAATGTCTCATTTGGGAATTTTTAAAGCACGTAGCCCATAGCAAAAATACATTGACAAAACTTTAAAAATGTGAATGCTGATAAAAAGACGCACGTGCTACCAAAAAATAACAAATACATACAATAAAGTTCGAATAAGAAGAAATAGACACGAGCTTTGCCTTCAAGTCTGAATTCATTATCAACAATTGATATTTCTTAATTCCTCGATTCGTTTAAGACGCATCAAAAAGGCGCCAATGAGCTGTCATGAGCATCAAAATATCTGAAATTGTACACATGCAGTCGGTGAACGTAAATAGGAAATTTGATACTTTCAAAACGTAATTCAAAAATTTTTTTTATTTTTTATAAGCTAAAGGAAATGATTATTCAATCCGCAAATAAAGAGTTGCATATTAATTCGAGAAGATTCTTTAATTTATTTTTGAGATTAATAAAAAAGTGCAAAGTCTAAAATAGTCATGATTGGCCTACGTATTTAGTGACATTAATTTAAATCTTAGGGCATTCAAAACTATCGAAAACTTATTAATATCTTTCGAGTGCTTACGCCATTTTAGCAGTGTCTTAAGAGTCAGTAATAGAGAACTAAGATCTATGAATAATTCTGACTAATTCTCGCACCCGGATAGCATTTAAACAAACTTTAATTCCAAGGAATTAATCATGTGCGGATGAATAAATCGACGGGATTTATGAGCTGATATTGTGACCCTGGACATTTTCAAATCTATTCGTTATGTAAAGATCCCCAGCGAAGAAAATAGGGAAGTACCAAATCTATTCAGAATATGACCTTGTTCCCTTTGTCGAGTTAAAAATACGTAGTAAAAAGTCATAGATCATCGTAGAATAATCTGCTATACTTTACTACAAAAGTAAACTTTACAACCAGTAATTTATTTCTAGACAGAACTAAAATGGGTTAATAAAGTTTCACTTTTAAGCACGAAAACCAATAATGTCATGACATTGCGGACATTTATCTACGCAAAAATATTTAAATAAAATATCCAATTATAATTTTTATATAATGAGAATATATATTGTATTGGTATCATTTAGACTTTTCGCTTGTCATGTACACATTGTATAAAATTAGCAAGCTTATGGCGAATTCTTAGTAAGCACATGAAAATTGTTATACAAGTTGTTAGAACCGCATTCAATTATATAATGATTTGGGGTTAATTACATTACGTCTTCTCAGATCAACTTGCACTTGAATGTAATTAGATGCTAAGGATTAATCGTAGCAAAAATTTTTATCACATGTATTAGAGGCTGCTTACTAGTCGTGTCAACCTTGTCATTAATGTATGTGCTGAGCCATGTATTTCAAATACATTTAAGCTTGCAGTTTTTCAAATACTTGTAAACAACTCATTTTGCATCATCATCTTAGGAGACTCTCTGGTCATAAAAGCTATTTTAAGCTAAGTAGTAAAAAAGTAACAAGGAAGCTTCTTAATGATCTTGTTGTTTTGTGGAATGTTTATTATAATCATCCGTAAACAATATTGGATGCAACAATTTAACGCATTCATGAGAAGAATTTAAAACTAGACTTAGTCTGAATCATCTAATCATTGTGAAATTGTCGATCCTTTTGTGTGACTAAATGACTGACGCTATTTAGATAATACAAATATGTATTTTAATGACAATCGAGCCTGCATAGTCATAATGTATATTTGTGGTTCTCATATAAACGGATCTTTTATTACAGCAGTCAGTCGTCAGCACAGAAATAACAAATTGAAGCATTAAATGCTCCCAAGCCCATTAAATTCCACATTTACTAATATTTACAAACTAAGTTGAATGAATTCTATTCTTTGTGTACAGAATGTCAGTCGATTAGCTTAATTGAAATTCAAGATTGATATTGCGTTTAAAATTCTATTTGGCTTCTCATGAATGACTTTATCTCCTTTACACTCCTTTAGCTTTCGAATTTCCCGTTATTCACAAATGCATAAGAGAGAAATATATGTGTAAAATCCAATACGAATCACAAAGACATGAAAGAGGAAGAAGACGAGTATTTATTTATACTTAATCAGATGTTAAAAAACAGCTGATCTGTATCTATTTCGTCATAACATGACTACACATAATAATAACTTATGATGCACTTTAGAATCATAAAATACATATAAATTTTGTCACTTGCTCAAATTAAAGTATCACTATAAGCAAAATCCACAGAACTGCTCTTTTTGCTAAGGTCTGACCTTTGTTTTCGAAAAAAAATAAATCAATACTTAAGAATTTTTCTTCTTACTTACCCAATCTGTTCCAGCAGTGCTGCATTTCGTATGAACCACACCACCTAGGCGACTTTGAACTATCGACTGTGTAAACTTCAATGTTAAAAACTTTAGATATTTGTTAATTTCGTCCATTTTCAATTAATATTATTATAAACTTGGCAAAAAAATATTGTTGTTGATGAATTTTCTTGTTTTTCCTTTATTTCCACAATTTTCTATTGATCTTGATTGTTTTATAGTTAATTTAACTTAACAGTTCTTACTTAAAATCACAAATTTATCCATTTTATGCTGATTTATCAGTAGAAAACTACTTTTTAATTAGATTTGTGGGCAGACAACTGAGAATGCTGATTTACAAACAGAGTGTGTTCAAGAAAAAGAGGATTTTTGAATTTTAAACGACGGTTGATGATTGCTAAAATTCAACATTGTAGTGCAAAAAAATTCAAAAAATAACTTGACAGTTGGTATTTCAATATTTTATGGTAGTTGATGTTAACTTTCACAAATATCAAGTCAATTTAATCTAATTAAGAGCAAGCGAAGACAGAAATGCAAAAACGCTTGAGATAAACAAAAAAATGATCATTCAAATTGAAAAATGATATACATTCATTAAGTAGATATATACATTAAGTAACCACATGTGCTGTGTTAAAGAATTTTTATAGCACTGCAAAAATAAGAAAACAAAGCTAGTTCTTTAAATAATTGTTTCGTCATTGATTCTCTTGTTTTTAAGAGAATTAATATTTAAAAGTTTAGTCAGTTCTCGTCTAGATTTCATCGACGAAAGGATACAAAACGATGAAGTCTCTAATTAATATCGCATTAATTATTGTCACATGCAAATTATCCATCTTGTATGCTAGCACAACACTATCACCAGTGAGTTAACTTGTTAAAGCATTTTTATATATTTTTTTTTATTAACAAAATTTTCTTATTATTAGAGTCGTTCGTCTAATCAAGAGTATAATGAAATTTTAACAAACACTGACCGGTTTATATCCACAATAGAACATAAATTAAATCGTCTTGTCAAGACTGAAATTAATGCCATTCGACAAGAATTTAAGAGATTAGATCAATCGGAGACAATTGATAAAGTCATCAAGAATTACGAAGTTCTTAAAAATTCAATTGACAGCATTAAAGGTGTGTATTGCATCAACAATTTGTTGGTCTGTACAACCATGGAATAAATATAAATTTATTTTAGACGAATGTCAAATATTTGACGTCGCCACAAAGAATGGTTCGAAGAGTAAGATAGACAATTTACAACTCTCCGTTCTCGCATTGAGACAGTCCACACATCGAATAGAAAAGGAACTGGCAATTATCAAAAAATCAAAAATAACAGACACTAAAGCTGACCAGCTTAGTCACCCTGTTATGTTCTCAAGTAATAATCTACATGATCACGAAAAGGCATGTACATCGTCGGATCAACATACTGAGTCAGGAATAAGAAAAATTCGTCGAGATTTCTTCGCATATTGTGAGATGACACAAGATGATGGAAATTGGATAGTTGTACTTACTCGATTTGATGGAAGCATTAATTTCTTTAGAAATTGGCAGGAATACAAACAAGGTTTTGGGAACATTGCTGGTGAATATTGGATGGGGCTTGATAAAATTTACGAATTAACTTCCTCAAAGCTACACGAATTGATGATTGTTGTTGAAGATTTTAATGGAATTAAAAAAACTGCAAAATATTCAGCTTTTGGAATATCATCTGAAGCCATGGGCTATGCATTGAATCTTCTTGGTTCTTATTCAGGAGATGCTGGTGATTGTTTAAGCTATCATGCGGGAATGAAATTTTCTACAATCGAGTAAGTTTGCATTATTTTTTATTTACGAGTCGTGAATGTGTGGCAACTGAAGAACCGGTATTTAAATGATATTGTTGCCGGTTTTTAATATAATAATGGCTTAATTGTTCGTTGGCTTAAATGGGTGATTTAATGTCTTGAAAAAATTATAAGATATCTTTTCTTAAAAATTATAAGGTGTTAAAATTAGACGCCTTAAATGATCGACACCTCCCCCCCCCCCCCCCCCCCCCCCACTTCTGAATAAATTTCATGAAAAATTTAAATTTACATAAATTTCACATACATAGCTGTTCTTCTCATGCAAGACCTATTTATATCAGAACTTGATTATTTATAATCCTAGATAATCTTTCACGAGAGTTTGTTAACTTTTAAATCAAATTTGGGTCAAAACAAATGTTGAAAGAGTAGAAATTCTAAATTGCGTCACGAACAGATGAGAAATTATCAATAATGACACAGCTCTCAAATAATTATCATAACTTTTTCTACATCTCCAACGAACAGTGTCGATAATGACGAATGGACTGACGGGTCATGCAGTAAGTCTCATTTTGGAGCTTGGTGGTATAATAAATGTGATCAGTCAAATCTCAATGGATTATATTACAATTACGGAAACATTCCTGACCAGCATACGGATTTGCAAGGAATGCATTGGAAATATGATAAGCATACAGCAACAATACTCAAAAGTGTTAAAATGATGATTCGCCCCATTCAACTAACGGATTAGCTTTAAAAATTTACAAAAAAAAAGAAATAAAATAAAAGTCATACGTAAAGTGCAGCACTTACGGTGGTCATTTTGAGAGTATTAATAACATTTTCTTATGTTTTCATCATTATACAAATCTCTTGTAGCTCTCAATTTATGCTTTTTTTTTTTGTTGCATTAAACCACTAACACATTTCAAACAGAAAAGAAATAATGAAAAACAAAAGAATTGAGTGAGAAAGAGGCACACGGTAAAGATTCTGAGAATCTCCATGAGACTTTCTAAAGTAATATTAGTGTTTTGGTAAGTGAAGAATTTCATTTACGTTTTTTTTCTTCCTTCCACCAGTCTTCAATTACCTTTCGTCGTGTTATGTTGTGCTTCTATCGACACTAACGTTCCAGTCAGTCAAAAGTCTTTTTTTTAAGAAATCGCTTTTTGAATTATCGCAATGAAATTTCGCATTGATTGTATTTAAAATAACTTTATAAAAGAGATTGATCATAAAAGAGATTAAGTGTGAAAGAATTGATGATTCAATTTTCTATTTCTGTGAATAATTGGAATAATTAAAACTGAACATAACAATTAAACTAATAAAGAATTAATAATTAATTAAAAATGGAATTTAATTTAAGAAATGTAAGTGTGGTATACAGCAAAAAAAACTTATTATTATATGAGAATCAAGTTCAGGTTCAAGTCTTCAACAAGTAAATTGAGTTCAAACGTGTTTTAAACAGCTTGTGGAATGAAATGATGAAAAATTAACGGTTTAGTGGGAAAGTTCATTGGATTCATGTCTGGACTTTTTCTCATCATTAATTAGCTTTTGTGTAATACTGAATTAGTTCTCATCATCATCATCCTGCAGTCCCTCTTCCTTTCTCAGCCTGACTGAACAAAAGAATGTCTATGGATGATCATTATTAAAAGCAAATTTACCACGCATTCAGAATACATAATTGACTGTGTGGTTATTGGGACTTCTTGTATCCAAGGCCTTCATTATCGTTCACTTCCTTCTCCACCAATTTTCTTTTCTATAGACAATGAAACGACATCGTCAATTCCAATTCTTTCAAGTTAATTTTTTTTTCTTACCTACTTTTCATTTCTCCAATCCCATTTTGAGTCTATTACTGGGCTCTTAATATTTACACAGTGTCCTAATTTCACTTTATATGTGTAAATATTCATTTATTATTGTATTTCTTTTCGCTTATTTCATGCTCAAAAGAACTGAATATGTGCTGATATTGGAATATGCTATATTTCTTATATCATATCCAATGTACATGAAGTTATACACTCATATTTTGTTCAAAATAATGTTATTAGAACAATTGCATTGTCTGTGATGGCAAGTATTGAGTATCTCTGTACATAAAATTGCTTCAAAGTTTTCGCATGTGGGTGGCTAAAGCGCCTTTTCGATGACACCCAACTAGAATATTTCTTGAGCGATGATGATTTCATAATCGTTGACATTTTTATTGAGAAAATGAATTAAAAATTCTAAGTTTTGAATTCTCGAATTAAAGTTATTCAGGAATGTTTAAGAATTGTAAATAAAGGTGCTTTTCATTAAATGTGTCTAAAAGTTGAAGATTGTAAAGAAATTTTGAAAAAAACAGCCATTTCTAGTTGGATATGGCTTTACTCAAATCATGTTTTACGATTATTCTATAGCTTCCTGAATCATTTCGAATTAACATCTCCTGGATGCAATTTCTTGCATTAGAATTGTTTCCTTTAAAAAACTTTCTGTCAACAATGCCTGATAGATTTTTGGTTTAAACGCATAACCTGCATTTAATATCTCAAGATTGATTCACGTAAAGGATTGATTTAGTGAAAGTCACTTTTTTTCTGACAATCATGAAAATTTTCTTGCTGATTCATATTTCTTAGATTGTTTAAAAACTTAATCGAAAATCAAAATATTTTAAGGATCCTGTCAATCACAAAAGACTGAGAATTTTCAATCATAATTTCACAATTTAAAAAGAATTAAACCCCAAAGTGATCAAATCATCCATTTCATTCTTGTTAAGTCTTCGTTAACGATTGTCGGGTCATTGATGACTTAACATAAGTGTGTTATTAATTGCATTAGGTAGGGTTTACTTTAATATTTCAACAAAAACGAAAAGAAATGAAATTTTACTTGACTCAGCATGTTGTGACTGCTCAATACTTTTTCCAATAATATGTAGTACAAATTTTGTACTCGTTTCCAATTCTTATTTTGTTGTTGTTAGATCTTCTTTTAAGCCATTTGCTTAATACAATTTGTGGGACTTTCATTCGTTCAACAAATTTAAGCTGCACATTCAACAGCTCTCATTTATTTTAAAAGGAACTTGTATGATGTTCTTTTGCCTTAAAATGTTGTTCTTCTTGCTGTGCCTTTGTCTTCGACTCATGGAAAGTAGAAAGAATTTGACAAAAGAAGTCTCGTAGTGTCTAATTGAAAATGAAATTTTGATGAGCATTAATAACAATAGACCTTCTTTGACGGGATTTCTAATGAATGACTCATTCCTCAGGAAGATTGTAATCATTTGTTTAGAAAAGAAGAAGTTGAAAAAAAAATCCAGGTCTTTGTACTCGTTTTCATTTATTAGCATTATTGAAGAAGTATTTACTACTGTGGATTAATTATAAAGCATAAAAAATAAGAACAAAAGAGCAAGTCAATGTAAGCTTGTTTTCAGTTCTTTCTTAGCTGATCTTCTTTCGTAAATCCATTCATGATTCTTTGTTACTGAGTTATAAATTTTTCATTTCATCAAACTTTTTCTTTCTTTTCCGCACTTCTCTTATTTGATGCTATTCATTAAAAGTTTAACTAGTTATATATATAGCCTAATAAGAAGTGTAGATTGCTGACTGCTCTTTTTTTGTGGGCCACTTAAATTAAATTAATTTATTTCTATTCTTCTCATTTCCATCGATTAAACTGAATGATGAGTAATAAAATACAATTTTCAATTTGTTTCACAGTTAATAGCAACAATAAGTTTAATAATAAGTATCTTTATCACAACTGCTGAATCACTTTGGCCGAATTTATCGACAGACAAGTGTGTTGGTGGAGGAGGTGGAAAGCTTAAATATTTATCAGGTGATGCATTAACAGACTCACTTAACTGTATTGGTCCAAATGGTTTACCATATCCAAGTTCAACTATCGGAAGAGCTTTTGGAGGTTCGTCAAGAAAAGGACGAAGTCATGTGTCAGCAACAGTAGATCCAATTGTAATGCAATCAACGCTTTTGAATGCTTATAAAGAAGCAAATGACGAGGATTTGTCAACAAATATGAGACAAGGTATGTGTCATCTGTTTTAATTGCGTGATCTATGGTCAGGAATTTATTCGGAAGTGATTTCTATTGAGTATGATTGAACTGTAGCTCAGCTGCTCAGTCAAATGATATAAGCAGAGCTCGAAGTCGACTTGTAGGTCCCTGTTGTATGCTGCTCAAGTTTAAGGGAGAGTAAAAAGAAAGCTATTCCCCTGGATACACATCTGACCATGATTCATCATTCCGTTAGAAGAAAATCTGTTTGCAAAAGAATCACTTTCAGCTGTCCACAGTGAGATTCTTTCGCGCATATTATTTTATTTCTGCTTCTTAAAAAATATTGTGGTAAAAAAAAAGTCATCATCCGGCAAAGAACAGTTATCATAAGATGTGTGTGTATATTTACATATATACCCATTTATTTTGTCTTCTCTTTTTTTAATAAAATTAATACTTTTGTGAGAAGTATGTCAAACTTTTATTTTGGCCATAGCGAAATATATATCGAAAAAAAATGGATTATAATTACAATGCTGGATTTCTTTATGCCTTGCAACGAATTTTCATGTCAAGTCGGTCGGTCTCTTTACTTCCGTTATATACTTTTCCAATTAAGACTATGCTTCTTTTGGGGAATGGACTGGATTGTATTAAATTTTACTTTTGTTTAAAATAAATAAGATTACGAAATCTCACTTGGAACAGCTTTTTTTTATACACATCATCAATAACTGTTTCGAATTGATTCTTGAACGATTTTTCCTTTTTTCACATATATTATGTATGTTCTCATCCATTTCATTTTACGCATGATTCCGCATTGATGAAAACCAGATTTTTAATGGGCTTCAATTTTCTGGAGCATTTGTGTGCACAAAATCAAATATTTGCATTATTCATTTCTTTTTTGTTCCTTTATTTTTCGTTTATCTTTAACCCATCATCTCTCGTGCTGCTTTTTGTTGCTTTTTTCAGGTCGTTCATTAAACTCACAAAATCAATGTGGAAGCACTCCGTCGAGATTGTGCAAAACGAGGTACTTTATTGGAAATTCTTGAATGTATTTTAACTGATATTTTAATATATACAGGTACAACACAACAGCTCCAATGTATGGTGTTAGTTTGACATCGGGACAACCTGTTACGATTGTTCAAAAATTCCCTGATCTACTTCAACAGGTTGTTTTCGAGGTCTGCGAGTAAGTAATGACGAAATGCTTGATAGCAAAAAGTTAAATTTCTTTTTTTTGGCACTTCCTTAGATCGTCAGAATGTGATGTTGTACGAGGGGATTGTGTTCAGACATATGTTCCATATCTATTTCTTGTAATTCCTCTCGGACCTGTGACGCTGACGGGCCAGGATTATATTCTCGTTGAGAGTGGTAAGTATGTCGTAAAATTCATTAAGAATTAAGCTTAACTATGTTAAATTTTCCACAGGTTGTGTCTGTAAGCCAAAAGCGTCAAAATATGGACCATCAAATCCGAGTGTTGTCGATATACTTCCATGATAAATCAATTTTAAAGCAAATTCAAACATAACATATCTTAACTCAATTTGTATGTTCCCAGTGATCATGATAATATTTTTAAATGAAGTAGACAATATTAAATATTTAAGAATTTAGTTCCAACATCGGGTCATTCATTAATGAACGATCCCGAATCGTAGAAAAAGAGAAACTTTTATAGAACATGACGAAAACTAGACGTAAATGAAGAGATTGTAAATAAGATTGTCATTGTATCATACCTCAAACGGCTATCGAGAATTATTTTTCAATATTATATTGACTTGATTTTAAAAGCATTAATAATTTATTTTAAATATATTTTGATATTAAAACTTAAATCCCTTATTCTTTTATTTAATTTCGACAAATTTGCGCCTGCAGTGTATGTAATTTGCAGTCTTACTGCTTAATAATACACCATTTCAACTTCATAATTTTCTAATACCTCTTGTTCGATTGGTTCGACTTGCTGTGGTTGATTTTCAGTAACCTCTTTCTGGAGAAGCTTCTGTTCCTTTGCTATTCGCCTGCGTTCAGCTTTAGCTTTACTGCTCTTCTTCCATCGACGACGATTTCGACATATTTCTGTGTTCCTTATATGATAATCATACTCCATCTGTAAATGCACCTTTTCAGCATCACTAGCTTTCTCATAACCCTGACAAATGTCACACTTCGGTCGTGGCCTGTTTGGCTTCAAAAATTCACTTTCATTGTACATGGAGAAAATTGTCCTAAATGTATTTTCTTTCACAATTCCATCAATGCTTTGCTCGTTGCACTCTTGCACATAATTTTTATAAATTTGTCTTACAGTCATTTGCTGCTCAATGTGAAAGAATGGAAATTGTTTAACGAAATCGATGGCTTTTAAATGGCCTGCAGTTTGCTTTCTACGATTCGTTCCTCTCATGTCTTGCACTTTTCCTGATATGACCTTTTTGTACAGCGTTCGAAGATTATTTTTACATATATCGAATGTGTTACAAAACATTACTTCACACACCTTTTCTAATGACTTGTGCGTGCCGTCTTTATTGTATGTATCAAGGTAGTATTTAGTGGAATATTCTCTTGGACGAGCACTTTCATATCGTGCTCGTCGTCTTGCTACTGGTTCAGTCTTTCGATGCTCAAAAAGGAATTTCTTTTGAAGTGCAAAATCAGCTAGTCCCCAATGATTTTCGAAATTCCTTTTCCGATCCTCTTCAGTAATTCTGTCTGTACATTGGAAACGACAATTGCATGCCGCTTTAATTCTCTTTGCTTTAATAAGCTTTCCTTTTCTATTTACATAAGATTCTCCTCGAACTCTTGACTCTCGGTGTTTAATTCTTACCCAGTTTTCAGGATCTTTAAATCTGGTCTTTTCAGCTTCTGCTGCTTCTTTCCGCTTTTGTTCGAGATTCACTAGACACTCCGGAATTCGGCTAATAAATGTGACGTTGTCAATAACTGTCTTAGTTATACCTTCATCATTTTCATCATTTTCTTCCGTTCCAAAAATGTCTTCATGTGTTGTTTCATTTTCATTGTCATCGTCACTACAGTCATCGTGTTTTTTAAAAGAACTACTTTCTTTTAATTCTGATACATCACTCATTCGATCGTTTTCATCATCACAAAACGTCATTTCTGGCTCTTCATTTTTTTCTATTTTAACAATCACATCTGTATCGACGAAATGCATGTTTGGCAACAAAACTTCATCTAATTCTGTTTTAATCTTCATCGCAGGCTTAATTACTAATACATTGGAATCATCTTTATCTATTGACTCGATGACATTGTTAACGACATAAGTCTTAAGTTTATTATAATGTTTTTCTCTTAAATACTTTTTAATTGAGTCTATCGGTGCACTAGAATCAACATCCTTAACTGGAAGTTCATTTCTTGCTTGCTTACTTCCAGTCATCACTTTAAAATCGTAGAAATCCAGAATAATTTTCTTACAATGATGGCAAATTGCTGTTTCTTCTATGTCTTCTATCTGAAATGTATAGATAAACTAGTTTTATATTGATGAGTATTATCTATGCACTGATTTACCTCATAAACTAGTAATCGTAGATTTTCCAGGATATCAAAAATTGTCAGAGATTCTTCGTCTTGATAATTATTCTTTTTTTGCTTCTTTCTGTAAAGCTGAGTAACTTGCGTATAGTTTCTGGATGTTTTATTGAGACATACACAGCACTTTTGATAACAGGAATCAATCTCACTTGCTGTTTTCCTGCCCATTTTAAGCAATTCAGGAATTTTCTAAGAATTTGATCAGATATTTTTGTAAACATTAAAAACAAAAATTTGAATTTTTCAGAGCCGTTGGAGGTTTACTGACATTATTTTTTTCACAATGTATTATATACTTTAATTAAGAAAATAAGCAATCAAACCAATTGTTTTGTAACATAAATGTTTTAATATAGCTTTAAACTATCAGATTTAAAAGTCAAAACAAAAAATCACTAAAACGTTAATGACATGTGCGACTTTTAAGAAAGGGTTGTTTTACAATCGTATATAGCAACAAAAGATTATTTTATGACGCGATTATCAAGCATGTGTCAAGAGAAATTGAGAGAGGAATTAAATAGATTTTGTAAATTCCCTTATTATCAGCCACATGAAAACAACATGCAGTTCTCATTACAGATTCAGATTGCGTACAGTTCAAACGAAGTTTATCGAGACGAAATATAATTAATAGTTACTTATAGCTTACATTGTGAGACTATGAAATTCAATTTACGAGAATATATTCCAATAAGTGAAAATAATATTAAAAGACTGAGATAACACAAAAGTGCATTTAATTAAAATATATTAAATTACCAAGATACAAGTGAAGCAAAAATGAAGATAAATTTTGATCGGACGTACAGTGTAAACTTTATAACGCCTCGAGCTGAAAATACGCATGGATGGGTCGTGGTATTGGGGGCTTGTTTAGTTTTTGTATGAAAAATGCTGATTACACGTGATACAAATTTATTAATAAACAATTTGTTCCTAGATTTTCAACATATCGCTTGCGACGACATTCAGTATAATATTTTCGCCTATATTTGATAATTCCGATGATAAGTCTGTACGACTAGCTATGAATATTTACGAAATATTATCAAATTTGACAGTCATTTGTACGGGTTTTATGTTGCGAGATTTATCAGCTAAACATTTTGTTGTTATTGGCAGTTCCTTGTTATTTGTTGGACTCGTGATTTCGTCATTCGTAGTAAATTTAGGGCAATTAATCATAACATTCAGCATCATCATGGGGATAGGAATGGGTAGCTATCATTTGGACTCCCCGATAAGAAACTTTTAAGTCTAATTTAAAGCACATTTCAGGTCTCTTGAATCCCGCAACTTTTATAGCTGTTCTATCATGCTTCAATGCATCTAGAAATCGAGCAATTGGCATAGTTTTTGCATCGTTGGGTCTTGGACAGTTGATTATGCCACCAATTGCAAATTATTTATTAGAAAACTTTACATTTCGAATAGTTATAAGTTTTGTAGCTGCATTATCACTCATTGGCCTTGTTGGAGGCAAGTTCTTTATACTTTCTTGAACGAAAGTAGTTCCTTATTATTGATTTTTTATTTTTCTAGCTCATTTACTTGCACCAATCAAATGGAGAAGCTGTGAGGAGCATCATGATCATTACAGCAATAGAATCTACAATAATAATGTCGAGGAATGCCAATATCTATTGCCAAAGAATGAAGAAATTTCGCAAAGTTCTGTTACGACAAAAATTGTTCATGCTACTGATCTTGAGCTTTTAGTCGATTACAAATTTCTTGCTCTCGGCATTGGACTTTCTTTTATTTTGGCTATGTCGGTTGACTTGACTAAATTATTGCCGACATTCTTAACTGTAAGACAACCGGAATAAAAAATTATGAATGGCACTTACTTCCTATTGTTCTTTACAGACTAATTTTGGCCTTGAAAGTTCCCAAGCTCAGATCTGCACTTATGTGATCAGAATAGCTGATATAATGGCAAGAATGAGTTTTGCGTTCATAACGGACGCTTTTAAGCTATCATCAAAAACAGTTCTTCTAATTGGCTTAATTGGAACTACAGCAGTTAGACTAGTTTTGCTAGATCCGTACCTAAACTTTGAGTTTATCTTGTTTGTATGCATAACATTAGGAACTTTCCGAGCAATGACTGTCATCAATCAAATTTTAATCATTGTTGACTTTGCAAAAGGTCGATGTCCTAGACGAGTTCCTGGAATGCTAGGATTATGCTATGTGATGAAGTCAATTTTGGTGGTTGTTTCAGAATGCTTATATGAGCACCTAGAAGACTACAACACTCATATTTTTATACATTTAGGGATTCAAATAATTGTAATAGTTTTATGGATTTGTATTATATGATCAGCTAGTTCCACAGAATTTTTTTGTACAAAATAAAATTTAATTTAAAAATGAGCACTTTTGAATTTTATTTGATTCCATTTGTCTTTCCTCTTGTTTCAGCGACTTCAATAACTTTTCATTTAAATACTTTGCTGTTGTGATCGTTAAGTCTATTAAGTTGTTTAAAGTATCAGCATGAAAGGAACCGCCACTAATTGTTTTAATCGTCGTAATTTTGTTTCCAGAAACTCCAACGACAGCACTTGATGTGCTACAGTTTTCCTCATCAATTGATGGATCAACGATGCAATAATCTCCAATTTTACAAACTGTCATGAGAATTGGCAGTGATTCTGCATTAATTCGATCACAATCAGAAGGATCATCAGATAGAACTAAATCGACGTTTCCACCGTCCAATAAAGCACTTGTTACTCTTGGTATCCTAAGATTGTACAATGCACATTTGACTGCCAATGATATAGCATCATAAAGATTTCCAGCACATTGCAGGATCAAGATATCAACATAAAGCTTCCAGCATTGAAATTTCGGTAGGATACAGAGGGATTTTAAATCAAAAGCATAAGGAGATGAATATGTCAATTTAAGGCAATTAGTAATTTCTGAAGCAAGCTCCTCGCCTCCTCTTCCTTCAAAATCCAGAAGTGCATTTGCTGAACAATCAACGAGAAATTCAATTTTTCCTTCATTTGGTTTATTTGGTGATGGGATGTCAATCTCTGGCTTAATTCCAACAAGAATATCTGAATTAGCTATACAGAATCGAGCACTGCCACTTGCACTAGCAATCACGTTAGTCTAAAGTATCAAAACATTATTAACCGCGTGAATTTTAAGACACAAATTAAATTTACCTGAAGCTCCATTGGACGAAAGTCATTTCTTGTTCTTCCATCGTTCCTGAAATCATCCTGAACACCATGCAGAATAAATATCTTTTCCGCTTCACTTAATGGATTATAAGCCATGATATTTACTAAATCAGGTCCACGATTTTATAAATGAAAACAAACCTATTATTAGTATGTGTACACTAATACAATTATAGTATTGTTTCGTAAACACAGGCTTAGTATTTTACTATATATAGCCGTTTCTAGACAGTTAAATCTTTATGTTATTGCCTAATTAGATTTTTATTGGTATTATTAATTACAGGAATCATTTTGGCATGTCTAGATGCTACAGTTTCCTTGATAAATTAACGGTTAAAATATATTTGGAAATTTTGAAAAATCATTTAAAAATTATTTTGAATTTTATAAAACCGTTATAATGAAAAAAGCTTATTAATTATTAAGCACAAATGAAGCTTTTGCTATTAACTTTGAAAGTTTCAAAAAAGTCGTGACTTTACATAACTTTTTTGGATTTTTATTCTCAATCATTCTAGTTACATCTAGAATAATAAAAAAGAATCCAAAATTATTTCTCCTCCAAGCCACAAAGACAGACACAACATAGCTGGCAGAATTGCATGCATTGAGAAGCTGCTTAACACCAACTCACCTTCCCCCACCTATTGTTTGAAAAATGATCGCTTTTTAAGACTTCAATATTTACTAACAGCATTTTAGTTTACTTTTGATCGTTCGCTAGTCCAGAAGCATAAAAAGGAAAGTGAATAAAATATAATAAAAAAAGTTTGCAAGAAAAGAAAATCGCGGACAAAAAAGTCTTAAATTAATTTTTTTTATTTTAATTCAGATTGTTGCATTTTACTTGTCTCTTTGAGTGTATATTAAAGTGCATCATCTGTTTAGTAAAATTATGTTAAGATACGTGATAGTGGCACTGGCATTATCAAGTGGTAAGTTACAATTACTTCTGTCAAATTGTCACACACATTAGCACACATAATACCCGTGTGTGCTTACTGTTGTGTGATTTGAGAGTGGAAAGTGATGAAAATGATCATTATTGGATCCAATTTGAATTAATTATTAATAATTTATTAATTTTTGTATATCTTGGGCTGTAAAATAAACACCGATGACAGATGAAAAAATTTAGAAATTCAAAAAATTTTGAAGAAAGTTTTTTTTTACACTTTATAGTGATGTTAATGACGATGATGATGTAAAAAAAAGCTTGAAAGATGCTTTCATATGGCAAAAAATGCTAATTTCTCGAGATGGAAGTTTTATATTAAAATAATCTCATTTAATGTCCTTAAAGTCCTCGCACGAAACATGTTATTGATTCAGATTAAACTGTTTCACGAGTATGAGCCGTTTTGAGTTCATTAAATGGCATTGGATGTCTATATTTAGGGTTCTGTATGGTCTGACTTGACGATTATCAAATTTCAATAATTTATTAAATTTTATGACCCCCCCCCCCCCCCTCTTCCAGTTGAAACCAATTACGTAGAAAGTAGGAAGGGGAATCGCTAAATCTGCTAAATTATTATATAAAAGTCATTAAACAATTCCTCAGAATTCTCAAGGTGTAGACAAAAATCACACGAGGCAGTAAAATTCCTATCATACTTGAAGAGCACAAATACTAGTTTTTAATATATTCCCAAAAAGAGAGACGAATAAATTAAAGATCACATACACAATAGTCTCCGCTGTTTGTGCGTCCAAAAAAAGAAGATCAAATGAAAGTGAAAACTGTTATGTGGATATCATATCTTCACTTCCATACCTGTCTTCTATCTTTAGATTTCTGGTTTTTGACTTTAGCACTGTGTCAGACGTATTATGGAAATAAGCCGAGAACCATTAATATGCAAATCGGAAGAACTTGTAGTAAAATATCGGTTTTTTGGTGAGAAAAATCCGTTTTAGAATATATGCAAAAATACGAGATTATTTTGCCAACAGCAGCAAAAGCAGCCATTTTTTGGATATAAAGAATGTTGTTTTTCAAGAGAGCTACTAAGAAATGAGTTCATTACGAAAGAATGCAATGACAAAATGGTTAAATCTTTCATAAAGAAATAACGAGAAGTAAAGAAGAGGTGTAAGAGTAATTCCACCTTTAAATAAATGTACCAACAACATGCTTACATCTTTCATTCCATAACCTTGGTCAAGGATCAATAAGACATTCGTTATTTATTTATTGGAAATATCATCGCATTGTAAGAGATCAGTGGCTCCCATACAGCAACATTAATATGTATATAAAAATGCAATGAGTACATACACTCACAGTAGGTGGGCTTGGTAACATGAGACAAGACTTCAATCGATTGCAAAACCTTTTTTTTTTACTTTTCATATAAAAGCATATCTCACGCTAGGTGAAGTTAAGAAAAGAAGAAATTGCTTCGGATGATATTTTACGAGTGAATCTTTAATGTCATGTATTATCATTTAAGATGTGCTGTTTATTGCGACATGCAAGACCTTTCATAAATAAAATTTGGTTTTAGGGAGTTTAATGTTAGGAAGCAATCAGCTGCTAGCCAAATTATCTAGAATAAATGTAAACTAGAGTTTGAAAGTTCAATTAGCGATCAATTTCTAATGATACTAAAAGTTCCAAGAGTTCGAGTCTCAACATGCAACATGCATTTTAATTAAAAAAACTAGTCTTGTTTTTGAAAGATCTAAACTTTCTTTTTATCTTAAATTTGACAACTCAAATCAAAAGATCACTAAAGCTCCTTCCTTAGCTTCTTTCAAGTGACATAATCTTAACTCATAATTGTAATCTCTCGATTTCTTTAAAACCATCCAAAGAGTGGATGATGATAATTTAATAACAATAATAATAAAATCGCAATACATTACGACACGCTGACATCACATGGGCTTAAGACAGTGTTAAAGACTGCTTTATCTGTTTATGAGCAAATGCAGACGTTTTATGTAATAATATGTATTTTCTCTCTTGGAATCCTTCAGATCTTTTTCTTCTGTTTTGGATGTTATTTTCAAAGGAAACGTTGAAAGTACTTCCATAATTTTTTACTGTATCTTTTATATCCATTGAATCTGATTTCTGCGAATTTTATGTGTCATATTTTTTTTTTGTAAATCACATTTCACGATTTTAATAAGTTGCATAACATGATGAAAAGTAGTTATTGCTTGCAATCGTAAGACATCTTGAGGTTATATTAATTTAACATAAATGTTTTAATTAATTAAATTACTATATTCTAGTTCCTTTCTTTATACCTCAACTAGAATCAAATTAAATGCTAATAAATTACTACACACGCAAAATAATCAGGAAGTCATTACATTACCTGTTAAGCGACAAATCATAAGAAATTAATCCTATGATATTGACAAAATCTCATGTTCGTTCCAAAATCGACATTTGTTAATCCAATGACTTAAACACGTATTTCCGAAGAGATTAACTAAACGCATACAATGAGGCAATGAATGAAGTCGGCATTCAGATTTTTCATTTAAGCAGTGGCAATTAATTCTGACTTTAAGATATTGCATATTTACTTCAATGTTATTGGTTCTGCAGAAACTTCTGTGGCGCCAGTTTCATTAAAATAAATTTTGCACGGAAGCAATAACAATAATTTATATGATTCTTAGATTGTTCTGGAGCGACTTCCTATTTTTTGACACAAAAATATTGCCATTTTTAAATTTTTTTAAGGTTGGGTCTTAAGAACTCATCATAAAACCTACTTGAAACGTTTTCAGGTTGATTCAGTCAAGGATGCACACCTTTTTTGCTCTTTTTATAAAATATCAAGTTGTTTTATAAAGGAATAAACTTGGTGATGCAACATTCACAAGCACTTAACCATGATTTAATTATCCATCCTCACTCAATAATGTTAACTCCTCAATCCTTTCAATTTCTCAATATTAATTATACAGCCAATCCTTATGTTCACATAACCTTGTCATGTTCTACATTTAATTGATGTACTTAAGTAAGTGTAAGCAAACTTACATTTAGAAACTCACTTTAGAGTGAGGTAATGATCAATATGTACGGATAATATTCATTGTATAACATGTAAAGTTGTTAATTTATGCGGAAGGATATAAGAAGTTTCTCTTTTCAAAACGAGATTGTGTGGTGACACCCTAAATTGGAATTCACCTATTATATTGTACATGAGAGTTACTTTCCATTTTAATTCACAAATTAATTAAGTTTAGAATCTAGATGGTATGGGGTTAAAGAGTCATGTCAGAGGCTGTGTATTCCTAAAAGAGTCAGCTGTTTACTTTTTAGAACTAAGACTATTAATCTGGAGGTGATCCCTAAGAGTATACTCTAATAAATACCTTAGTTCCTTTAGAAACTTACTCACATCGACATTACGGCGTCTACAATCATATCATTTATAGTCACATTTTCTATCAAATGCTCATGTTGAGCTAATAAATGTGATATGCAAATGCAAAGGAATGACTATTGACATTAAAAAATTCCAAATCGCTAGAGTTGTGATAAGGAAGCAACTTAAGACTTGTTTAGACACATTTTTTTTTTCGGGAGGTCTTTGGCATCTTTAAGCTTCATATCACTACCATGATATTTTTTGTCTTGAGTACAGCCTCGACAACAAAGAAGAAATGTAAATACGAAAAAAAATGTTGCAATCGCTTTTTAAATGGAAAGTGAAATGTCAACAATTGTGAAGATTTGCATGTAAATTGCACATTTTTGTAAGATTTTTGTAAGCTCCAACATATTTCATTTTTTTTTTAAGTTTTCCTTTCTTTTTTCTCTCTCCCTCTAATATTTAACCTTCGTAAAATGCACTTCTTAGAAAACAACGCATACAGTCAATGAATGAATAAGTTGTTTGGCAAAATGCGCGATTTATAGAAAAACAGAAACAAAAAAAATGTATAAATATCGTTTGTGAAATTGATTGGAATGGCGATGAAATTTGTGTTTGCTAGAAGAATTAGCAAACAGACAATAAATGCCGTTCGAAGGCAACAATCATCAATTTCGCCACAAGAAAGTCAATGTATTACACACTGCCAAATACCAATAACAATATTATTTTTTTGAAATTGAAAAAAGAAGAAGTTTTTATGCCTTTTTTTTTGCACAAAGCAGCTCAAAGTGAAAAAGAAGATACCTACGTCAAATAATATTTTTTTGATTTTACATTACCTTCACTTCAACTCTCATATCTCTTGAGTCGAGCTTGATTTCTTTTTGGACGACGAAAAAATAAAAATGTTTGATGCTCAGCAACAGTCAAACTTGTCAACAACAAGCCATTTGATGAAACGTGAAACGTTTAATTAATTATGGATGAACTTTTTTTTCCGCTCAAGCTATTTATTGGGAAGAGAAAAAGTGTCAATGAACTTTTGGCTTAAATGCATTTTTGGCGCTGTTAGCTGGTGTGGATTAAAAGAGCAATTGATTTGCAATTTTATTAACATAGTAAAAGGGTCGATCAAAAGTGATGTCTATAAGAAATTAAGATTGCTTCCTTTACCTTCTTTAGATCGTGTACATCATAAGTGATTAACCCCTAAATGCATCATTACTGGTTATTTCCAGAATTTCTTAGTCACGATTTGACACCATAAAACTATATTCACAGCTAATATTGTCCTTTTGATATTTCAAGTCACTTACAATGTAACGCAACATGAATGATTTATAACGGCTTCGATCAAATGTGGTAGATAGATGGAATTTGGAATTACTAAGCCTTTAACCTTTATTAATCCCTGAGAGCTTATGAGCAACCATTAAATTTATGAATTAGCACTAAAGTCTTTGGAAATTTTTCTGACTTATATGGCATTGAGATTGCTAAATTCTGAATCATATTTCTTTGCATCCGCAAGCAGGGTGAATGCTTAAATTCCGTAATGACTACATTCTTTTTCAAATTAATAATTAGAAATCAAGTAGCATTCCTTTTGACTCATATTGACATGACTTTATTTAATTAGCAGCTTTAGCCTATGAAATTAAGGAGTAGCATATTGATCTGACGGATCTTAAATTGAATAACCAGTTAAGTGCTTCGTTCTAGTTTCAGAATGCTTCATTTTGACAGAATAATTTAGCGATTCAATTCCTATGTATAGGAACAATCAGGTTTAAAGAATCGAGAATATTTCATTTATGCTTCTCGAAGAATTTTATTGACATTCTGGTTCTTACTAAAATAAGCAACAAGCTACCGTTCATCTAAACAACTCATGAACAGTTTGATTTAAACTCCAGAAATTTCTGGAACTCCGATTCAGTTTTGATTTCAAAAATGAAAATATTTTTTGATAATCGAAAGTAGATTTCAGCTTTCTTTATTTCAACAATAGGACTTGATGATAATTTTACCCTTTCCTGATCGCAGATCATGCACACTTGTGTATCGCTTATGAATCTTGTTGCCAAAATAAATTATATCTACGGACATATTGATTATGACAATAAGTAAATTTTCATGTTAGAAATTTTCGGTTAAACAATGGATTAGCCGTACCTATATTATAGTTGTAAAGACTCTTTTTTGTCATTTAAATGACTTTGTATGAAAATAATAACAAGAAAAACATGGATTTGAAGGAAAAAGAAATTTTTCAACGTTATTATTCGTAGGCGTTCGAAAATGATCATAAATGGCGTGCATTAATATAATTTTGAAATTAGCAAATGTGATAAATCACGAGTTTATAAAGAAGTCTATATCTTGCATAACTTTATATAATTAATAAATTCGAGGATGTGAAATATTTATTGCTATTTTATTTGCTATATAAAACTTGATCATTGGAATTTAAGCCGGTAAATCTAAAGAAAATCTTCACCTACTTTAATTCTACATAAAATAAAGATCTTGATTTCTTGAATCATGAAATTAAGTGAGAAAATAAAACTGCACACGCATACAGACATGCTTAAAGCTATCGAAAAGAAGCACAAACCCGAAATTATTGCATAATGACCTTAAAAGAAGACCTGTTTATGACTCGAATGTTTTTTTCGCATTGATAAATAATTTACAATGAATGAAGAATTATTTTTTAAATGTTATAATATGTCAAGTGGTGCCTCTTCTACAACTTTATGAACTTTTTCTTTCGTTTCGTCAATAAACTTATTGGGGATTCTTCTTAAATGACGTTCATCATTTCAGAGGGTATTGATTTTAATTTTTGTGAAAGACAGGCTGAAGGTGTGCATACAATGTTTACCCAATTGCCAAAGAATGTCATTTGTGAAAATTAATGACATAAATTCTTTCATATACTAAGAGAAGCAACCTTTAGTGAGCACAAGACATGAGTGCAAAATGTGAAGGAAAAAATAAAATTTGCAAATGTAAAGTGCAGTTCTCCGATGAAAAGATGATTATGACTATGATTAACCTACTTAGCAGTAGTTCATTATTTTTTCATTACTTCTTTTCACGAATTTTTTATTCACCTTCAATTCAAATTTTTTTTTTGTTTAAGACTCACTGCACCGCATGAGAGAGTGAGAGCGAGCACGAGAGATATTGAATTAAATTTGTGAATCTATGGGATTGCCTTGTATGGCATTTGATCTTGAAATAGGCGGTACAGTTTGTTGCATCACAATTATATGCTTCTAGGCATCTGGGTTTGGGAATAACCCCCGAATTATTCATAACATGTATATGAAAATTAAATTATGCATTCCACAGTTGAAGACCATTTATATTAATATATATTTATGTAGATATCTGGAAAGAAGAAAATCACATCTCATCAAGCTGATTAAATAACTTTCAATTTCATTCGCGGAATGAAAATATTTTTATATACTTAATATATTTTTTAATATCACATGCATATACAGTGTGTGATATACATATATAATTACACAATCTCTGTCTTTTATTTTTTTTGGATCACTTCTCTTAAATCGGTTGATATTTTTATGGCACATTTATTTTTATTTTTTGCCACATTTTTGTTCATATCTCTTTTATTTTTTACATCCACAGCCAGTGCTTTGCGTGTAAAACGTCAAGATTCAACAACAGCAAAGACTGAAGAGTCTTTTGAAAAAGAATTGTGTAAAGATAAAGATGCAGGAGAATGGTTTCGTCTAGTGGCTGGCGATGGAGACGCTTGTCGTGATGTCATTCAATGCACATCATCGGTAAGTCTTATGCTAATGAGCTTTCATTCCTCCGTCCGACTACTTCCTATTTTTTTAATATATTAATATCATATTTACATACATTAATTTCCGTAGGGTCTGCAAGCTATTCGTTGCCCAGCAGGTTTATTTTTTGATATTGAAAAGCAGACATGTGATTGGAAAGATGCTGTAAAGAATTGTAAATCAAAAAATAAGGAGCGTAAAGTAAAGCCACTTTTAATTACTGACGAGCCACTCTGTCAAGATGGCTTCCTTGCTTGCGGTGATGGTAACTGTATTGAGCGAGGATTGTTCTGTAATGGAGAGAAAGACTGTAACGATGGATCTGATGAAAACTCTTGTGGTAAGTCAAACAATTCATTTCTTCATTTAACATCTCATCACACCCCGCGACAATCGTGACATACTTTCAAGTTTATTATCGCACCTCTAAATAATTATTATTGATTGATCAACAATAGATCATAGACTTATATGATGAAGCTGTAGCTGACATTCAAATGTCAATAATAAATAACGAGTTTAAACGAAATGAAAAAAAAAAAAAACTTGCACCCGGAAACGATATTTAAGTCATTCATTTGGGTCTCATGCGATGAGTTCGAGACAATAGCTGCCTCTTCTTACTCCTAATCATTGAATGATTTTTCAATGCATTGCAATTTATAATGTCTCAATTATTTGAGGTTAATTGACGCACGTTAAAGAAATATGAAAAATGGCATTTAAAAATGGCACTAGCTCGCTTATTAAGTGAAACATGCATTCATGCATGAAAAATACGGAGAAAATCATATTTCTTGTTGTATTAAAAATATTCTTAACAAATCGCAAGGTTGTTTTCCTTGAGGGGTCGTTTTTAAAATACCAGAAAACTCGAATGACATGTTTTAATGTGACAATCTACCTACTTACTATTTTACGTCACAAAAGTAAATACACATTCATATAATATATTATTAAGGTGTGATGGAGCAAAAAAATGTCTACATGCGCTATATATAAAGGAAGGGGAAAGTTATTTTTTTTAAAATTCATTACCGGTAAACTTTACAATGCAAAAATTTTAAGCATTTAAATTTATCACGCTTTTATTGTCTTTAAAATTGCCGGCGCCTGATATATCATTATGATGATCATAAAATCGACATCATTAAGAATTTCTCTGTCTGGAAATGAGAATAGCAAGTTGATTGAAGAAATGGAAAAAAATTGTATTAATAACAATGTTTTAATTGTTTTCAGTGGGAATTAATGAACAAAAGTTATTGAAGGTCTTTTTTTTTCCTTTCATCATTTGACTTTCACATTTTCTTGCATGTTTAACACACATTGTTGAATTTTTAATGTAAATTTATATTTTATTTTTTTTTTCCTCCATTTGTAGATGCTGAATCCGATCCAAATCGTGCACCTCCATGCGATCCTGCAGTGTGCGTTTTACCAGACTGCTTCTGCTCAGAGGATGGAACTAGCATACCCGGAGGTAATTTGATGAATTATAAAATCTTATTCTTGGATTTCTGTGAAGATCTGTCTATAAGTTCTTGATCTCGAAACTATTGTAAACGTTAAACATTGCTTAAAAAGTTAATGAACCCAACGATAAAGAAAACTTGTAATTTAATTTTGAAGATTGGTTGGCATTTACTGATCATTGATCAATATCAGATTGCACACATCTTGATAATAAATCTCAATTTAATAATTCCTTTCACAATCCTCAACACGGTTATTATAATGTCATTATTTCTGCAGATATTCCAGCCAAAGATGTACCACAAATGATTACAATCACTTTCGATGATGCCATAAACAATAACAACATTGAATTATATAAAGAAATGTTCAATGGAAAAAGAAAGAATCCAAATGGATGTAACATTAAGGCAACGGTATGATTAAAATTTATTTTCGAACTTTATGCATGTGTATTACATAAAACATGATTGATATATATTTTATTTTACAGTATTTCGTATCACACAAGTACACAAATTATTCAGCCGTACAGGAACATCACAGAAAGGGACATGAAATTGCAGTTCACTCAATTACGTAAGTTTTTTTTTTGGCATTTAACTATTTAATTTTTTTAACTCTTTTGGATATCCAATAAAATAAAATATAAATTCCTTTTCTTTATTATACAGACACAATGATGATGAGAGATTTTGGTCAAATGCATCAGTTGATGATTGGGCAAAAGAAATGGCTGGCATGCGTATAATTGCTGAAAAGTTTGCTAATCTTACTGACAATTCAGTCGTTGGAGTTCGTGCCCCGTACTTGCGTGTCGGTGGTAATAATCAATTTACGATGATGGAAGAGCAAGCATTCTTATACGATTCAACAATTACTGCACCACTTTCAAATCCACCTCTATGGCCTTATACAATGTACTTCCGTATGCCACATAGATGTCACGGAAACTTACAAAGTTGCCCAACAAGAAGTCATGCAGTTTGGGAAATGGTTATGAATGAGTTAGACAGAAGGGAAGATCCTAATATTGATGAAGATATTCCAGGATGTGCTATGGTAAATTTCTTTAATTATACACTTATCTAAATCTGTGTTCCTAAATGTATCTTAATGACTTCCGTAGGTTGATTCGTGCTCAAATATCTTGACAGGTAAGAAACAAAAGCAAACAGAAATTGTTTAAATGTCAATGTCTAATGTAAATTTTTTTTTATAGGTGACCAGTTCTATGCCTTCCTTAATCACAATTTCGAGAGACATTACGATCAAAACCGTGCTCCACTCGGATTATACTTCCATGCTGCATGGTTGAAGGTAAACTTCTTATCATAATTTTGTAGCTCATTTTTTGACTATTTTTTTTATTCATGCATTCAGAACAACCCAGAGTTCCTCGATGCCTTCTTATATTGGATCGATGAAATCTTAGCAAATCATAGTGATGTCTATTTCGTTACTATGACACAAGTTATTCAATGGATGCAAAATCCAAAGACCTTAAACGAAATCAAGAACTTCGAACCATGGAAGGAGAAGTGCGCTGTTGATTCAAATGCCAAGCCAGCTTGTTGGGTTCCAAATACATGCAGATTAACATCAAAGGAGGTGCCCGGCGAATTAATCAATCTCCAGACCTGCGTTAGATGTCCAAATAATTTACCGTGGTTAAATGATCCAACTGTGAGTGATGATGAGGATTTAGTATTGACATTTTGATAATAATTGTTGATTCTTTTCTGATTTTTAGGGAGATGGATTCTTCTAAAAAGCAATACTTAATTAGCAGATGAATGTTGCATCACCTTATATCTGTGTATACTGTTATAGAAATCTACTCTAAAATCAACAAGCCTATTCTCAGTTTTTATTAATTTCATAATTTTTAAGACGTTTATTTTGTCTTCATGATAATTTAATAGAAATTTATTTTTATTACCTATGTATTATGTGCCAGATTATAGTAATTTTTTTAATTCTCATTTTTTCTTAATAATTTCCACGCACTCGTTTGGCAATTTTTCAACAATCGTTTTGCGTCAATTTTACTTTCTTTTTGTTATTTATTCCATTTTTTCCCGTACCTATTTTTGTCTTGAATTGTACTTCTTAATGAGTGTAACTACAACAGAGGGATTAATTATTCCTCTATTTCTATTTTTAAGGCTGATTCTGTGACTGTCGACATACTTTCTTTTATGAAGGAATCAACATTTTGATACTTTCATTCTCCATAATCGAAACAATTAAGAAATTCGGTCAGTATTAGTTCCGTTTTTGAGATTTCATAATCATTGGTTATCATAAAGTTTCATTGAACATGAAGAAATGTATTAGAATCAGCTATGGGAAAATAGTCAGTCATTAATAAATTTGTGATTCACTTTGATGCTCTCGTAGATTTCACATGTATTCTCATTTTTATTATTTTATTTACATGATGGAATATACTCCTAATGTTCTAGTAATCAAACAATTGATTTTATTCTAGTTTAAACTACTTCAATTTTTAATAAAGATTGCATGATTACTAGAGATTATAGGAATGAAAGCACATCAAAGTGAATTATGAATGATTACATATGAGGAGATGCACTAATTAAGAAGCTCATTTCTGTTTTTATACTTTTTGATATTCTTCTGATATTAATTAATATTGTTTTGTGAGATTGAAGTCAAGTTAGTTGAAAGTTATGCTGAACTGATATGTACTAGACATTATTAACATTTTGCAACAATAGAATTTCAATAAATTTTTTAAAAACATAATTTATCGTGTTTCTTATTTTCCCAACACATTTTAAATTGAGGGTAATACGTAAAAGGGCCTTCAAGGCACTTCATTGTAAAATCGATACTGTTTAAAAATAGAGTCACTGAACCTGTCATATCACATTATTATTTGTGTACATTTTTTATCACAATGCAAAATTTTGAGAATATTTCATCATCCAAAAGCGGTTGAAGCACATATTAAGTATGTAAACAACTTAATGTCTTTCTGTTTTATCAATGCACAACTTTGTTATCAGATAATTTTTGGTAATGTCTATAAAGTGTGTCGAATTATTATGAAATACATCTACCTGCACACTAACGACAATGATCTTTAAATACTTAATAGGTAACGATAAATACTTCCTTTTATGGCACATTTTTTTAACTCAGAACTGCCTCTCTTCCAGTGATTTTTCCTTATCTAGACATTTCAAAGATATTTTGGAGAATTTTTTGTGGCGCTGTCGTACACGCGATAAGATTAAGTTAAATGCTTTTGATAAGGTATTTTATAGAATTTTAATGAGAAATTATCACAATTAATACTCAGTACTTATCAGATTGCCTGAACATGAGTAAGAATTTTTATTTTTTGCTTAATATTACATAAAGTTGAGAGAGTTTGGCTTTTAGAGGCTATCTTAGAGCTTAACAATAGGTAGCCATAGTGTTGCTGTGTCAATAATATTTATCCGTACTCATGTTCATTGTATAATTATGGTACTGCCTTTAAGGTTTCTTTTTTGCGAATTACACGGCTTTCTCAAAGATATGTAATATTATTATCAAACAGGATGTCTTCGGGCATCTTGTAAAAAGCTTTTGCATAAACCTTCTTCTTTTAATGCTTTAACAAATCAAATTTAATTCTAGACTAGAAATCAATTTAAAACCCATTTTCTCAAATCTATTTTTGTATGGACGTTATTCTTATATGATCTTTTGTAATATGTGATCTGAAATTCAAGCTAGGATTGTTTCATTCATTACTAATCCATAATTAGAAGACAAACCAGTATTTACAAAAACAATCAGTAAGCTAAAAATAAGGAAAATCGAAACAAATAGAAATCCATATATAGAAAGTTATCAATTCTGTCCTTGAATTAATATCCAGAATAATGTAAAGTAACAGAAAATAGTTATTCATGAAACAGTAGCAGATAAAACAAAACAAAAGGAATCGTTATTAACCTTTATGTTTAAGTCTATGTCAAGAATATCACTCTAGGTTTTGAGTTTAGTGACATTTGGAAGCTTAATTTCATTTTTATGTTCATTTTGAAGTTCAATAATAATCTTTTGTAGGCATCTAAAGAAGCTTACATTATAAGCATTAAAACTTTCAATTCTAGATCCAGAAGAAGAAGAAATCGTCAACATCACTCAGAACCTTATTGAAATAATCAACAAGGGTGATTATGAAGGCTACACAAATATTTGTGACATCAATCTTACAGCATTTGAGCCAGAGTCGCTTGGTAACATTGTTGTTGGCATGCCGTTTCACAAGTTTTACTTTGATAACGGTGATAAGACTTTATTTGATTCCTTTTCCATTATCAATTTCACCATTATTTGATTATTTTTTTTTTCTCAAACAAAAACAGTTATCGGTTACAAGTCGATAAATAATACATTGGTAAATCCTAAAGTTCATTTACTTGGAGATAGTGCAGCATGTATTGCATATGTTCGGCTGACGCAATTTATCGACAAGTAAATTACGCATTATTTATAAATCGGATGTAAATTATTATCTCAATATTCATGATTTTTCAATAGACAAGGACATTGTCATACTCATCAGAGTGAAGAGACAAGAGTATGGCACAAGAAAAGCATTGAATGGCGTTGTGTTCATTTACATCGCAGTTATACTGGAAATGCAAGTTCGATGACACCCTACAATGGCAAATAGTTCAATTTTCAATATGATCCTCGCTACCAAAGTTGAATCACATGAAGCACAATCAAGTCATTGTTTATGTAAAATACAGTAAAATAATAAAGAATCGGGTGACATAAATAGAAATTAAAGTGGATTCGCATGATTGAGTTGAGCAATAAATTCGAGTTCTGTGTATTGAATTATTTTTAATTTTTTTCTTGTGCTGTACACTGACTTTTATTTTCAAGAAAACTTTTCAGTTCGAAAGAATATGAAAATTTCGCAGAGAAAATTAACTCCGAAGAAGAAAATGAATTTCCTAGGAAATAATCACAGACGGACTTGTGTGACAGATTTTCTTTTCTTTAAGATGAATATTAAAAATAAAATAATCAGAAAGAGGTGAATGAGAGTTTTTGAAAATGAAAATTTTCTTAAAGTTGGAATGTTGATGGTATTGGAAGGAGCGCATTTTTGGATTAAATGAATTCTTGGTTGAACCTTAATGATATCTCTCAATAATCCCCAATTCTTAAACTATAGTAAATTTTTATGATCGATTTATTACAGCAAAATCGGTTAGTCACCTTTGTTCAGGAACTCAATCAAATTTGACATTTCATACTTAATGAATTTTATTTACTTTACTCAAACTGAACAATGATTTTTTTCCCAACTGGAGCCTCCAAAACAAAGTGATTAATAATGAGTGATTTTTTTGGGAATCTGATGTAGTTTGTACTATTTATTGAGTAAGTAGTTCATTTCATTTAGGCGAAAAATTTCAAATTATTATTATTATTATTTATTTGTCGACGTTACCGTCCGGAAGAATTAGTATTTATACATGTTTTACTTTTTACATTGATTAGTGACACATTTCATATCACTATGGGTGACGTAGAATCCAGCTTCTAATCTTCAAATCTAGGTTTCTATTAAATTCAGGCTCTCGTTTCAATCTTCTGTGGGCGTGACGTGATACATTTCAGGTCCGTTCTGAAAATATTCCATTCGTGGGTAATCTTGTAGCTCTCGTTCGTATTTCTCCCGCTACACTTCAAGTTCCTGATCCGTTCCTTAATCCAACGTTGCCCAAAATGCCCAATTATGGCTTGATCTCGTACATTAAGCAGTCGAAGTATCTAAACTTCTGAAAAAGAACAAATTTGGAAATGGCTGGATTCGAACCGACGACCTTCGAGTTACCATACCAAATTTGAGTCAAAGGCTTACCTATTCGACCAGTAAGGCACTTAACTGCAAATCTAAAAGTTCTTCACATACTTCAGTTTAGAGGTTAGATTATATTGCCATATTTACACGTGTGAAAATATTGTACAGCATTAAATTTGGATTTCTTATCAAAGTTGTTTTAGAATTAACCGATATAGCAAAAACTTTAAACTTAATTTTAAAATTCTGATGAGTCCGCATGACTTTGAACCCTTTTTTGATGACCGTATTTTATAAACAATAAAGCAAAAGCATTGGTCAGCATATTTAATAAAACTGAACAAGTAGGAACTCTTAGTAAAGTTTAATCTCCTATGAATGAAAACGTGATTAATGCTCATTCAAAGATTAAAACTGGAGCATCAAAAACACGTGAAAATTACTCAATTGTCACACTAAACGACTGCATGACAGTCCATAGACGAAATTAAAATTTTTCAAACACCTTTGCATGAAAATTGCTAATTTACTGAAAATGAGAAACATGAGAGACACACTCGTATTTAAATATTTAATTCGCTTGATATTCTGGTCATTCAAAAACAAACAGCTTAATAAAGAGGATAAGAAAATTTTAAAAAATAAAGATATTAGAATTTGAAGGATAAAATCATGGTTGTTAAAAATAGTGACATTAGTAATCATCAGATGGGGAATTTGGTCAAAAAAGCAATTGTTCAAGCAAAGTTTGAGAAGAGATTAATTTTAGGCTTATCGCAAGTTGTTAAATATTTGATGGAAGGCTATTCAGACATTCCAACAATTTGTTTAATTGCACCACCAAAGCAAGGTGATTTTGCCACACATATGCAGGAAGTACTGCTGCAAGCTTATTGCTTAGAAAATGGCATTAACACAGTTTATATTGATTGTGCTGATAAAATAAGCCGGATACTTAGACTTCCCACAACTGAGTCTTGTGCATTAATATTTGCAAATGCGGCAGGTGATTTTGACTGTGAAGGAACCTTCTTAGATGAGGATTATCACTTAACAAAAATTGAGAAAATGATTGTGAATTATTGTGAAGAGCATTGGGACGAAGATGAATATTCGACAATTAGACTTCCTGAAAAGTGAAGGAAAGTCATGTGAAAATTTTAAGTGTTTTAATTATGACTGAAAAAAATCAGCTGTTGATAACGATAGCACAAAAATAAGAGGCTCGACGTACAATGAATCACGAGAATGAAAATAAAACCAACCGTTTGCAGTATTCCAGTTAAAACCTGATATTTATCATAATTGAGGATTTTTAATGAAGTGAGAGAATGTATTGATAAGGAATATAACATAAATGAATCACAATATTGTGTATGCCTTAATAAAGAAGCTACTTTTTAATGAAGCATGTTCTGTTTTTATTTTTGATAGAATTGAATGAATTTTAAGAGAATTTCAGGATGCATTGTTGACATATTTTAATTTTTTTGATTCCTGGTTTTGTTCTTGACAATTTCCAAGAATGAAGAATTAAATTAGGTTATAAGTCCTTAAACGACTTACTTCAAAATCAAGGTTATATTTTGGTATAGCATCAAATTAGTGAAGCTTGTCAAAAGGTTAAGGTCGGTTAATTTAGTAATTAATGCTTTAAGAGTGGGGAAGGTGTGACAATTTAATAATATTTTAATTTTTTTAAAATTTGTAACAAAAAGAGAAGATAGTTCTATAATAAGTAAATGATCCCTTAAACATCTCTCGTTCCACAGATTTATCTATCAATCACTACATTTTGAGTAGATAATATAAAAATAATACACACGTTTTTCAACATAATAACAAATCACAAAGGAGAGTCCTGAGGAACTTCCAACTAATACTTAGAATATCCAAACATCCATCTAATACATGCGCATACTTTTACATGGTTTTTGAAATTCAATAAAATATAAAATATAAAGTTTTTTTTTCAGAAATCTGAAGTGGACTCAAAAGTATTTAAGAAGCATCGATGATTTTTGAAAGTAACGATGATATGCACGATAATTCTTGAAGTATCAGAGTTTTTCAGTAAATAGAAACTAGCACTTAGAAACAGCGTGTTTTGTATATCACAAAGGAAACTGTAGATCTCCCTATAACTGCTACATGTGTATACTAATGTAAAACAAGTCGGGTTCGATAGGAATCAAACTCACGACCCTCAAAATAGGCGATCTCTGACCATTCGATCAGAGATCCCTGCCACTTGGCAACGGATGTACTTATCTAACATTGACTATCCGTCAAACACATACAACCAGTTCAAAGCGAGCCCTATGCTCAGACCTATCTACTACAAATATCCTCTTCAAGCCATATCCGAAGAAATTTTCACTCAAAAATACTGAGCTGAACCACCAGATGAATCACATAACTTTTTGGTGCCAATAATGAGAATTTATATTATGATCCCTGAAAAGCTATTGAGAAATTCCCAGTTAACAATATAAACATTACAGCAAATCCCCCCAGCTATCCCTTAAAATAATAAAACAAAAATCCCTTCGTAATTCCCTTGTCCAGACTCATTAGCTTGAATCATCTACACATCTGCACGATTATTTAACAAGTTCAATAGAACATTTTATATTAAGCATGTGCTGACAGATATAAAACGAAACTCTGTGCCAAATAGGCATGAATCATCCACATTTCACGTTAACGAAAAAAAAAACGGTTATTCCTCTCTCAACTCATTACCTGCTGCTCACGGGAGAGAGAAAATCCGATCAAATTGTACTATGAGCTGTAAAATTTCACGTGAATCATGAAATGATTGGCGACTGACATTTATATTATCAGCTTTGAAGGCGACAAAAACTAGAGCTATTATGGAATTGTTGTAAACTTGATTTTCTTGTGTATGCATGCTTGCAACTAGGCATGTAAAATCCAACCTGCTACTAATTATAATATATGTATATAATTTCCATGCACGCATTGATGAAAAATCATGTGAATATTGTGCGCCAATTCTGTTGCCAAGGCCGTCACATGATTACGATAAGTCGTTAATTATTGCGACACGCATTGTCTGGCTGTTTAGAAAGGTAAATTGTATTCATTTTTATAATTTCTAATCTGTCTATTTTGGGTACTTACTAAAATAATCTTATCATTCAGCCTTTTGGTGATCCCCATACTAATGCATTGTGTAATCTAATGGAATTTGAGAAATTTCTAAAGCTATGAATAATTGAGAGACATGGAACCAAAAAAAAATAAAAATGAGAGAAAAAGTGAAAATCGAGAGAGGGATCCAGCGAATGTTATAAATACCACTGCTGAGACTGAGAGAATTTTCATTCATAAACTAGTTATCGTAAAGTGAGGAAGACATAGAGCAGTTTTAACTGAAAGAATTTCATAATAATCGATAATAATCTGAATTGACAAGTCATTAAGCTGGCTATTAAAAATCAAAGCTATTCTAAAATTCTCAAAAGCAATCAAATAAGTACAGAAGATAATATGGTGAAAGAATACACAAAGTCATTGTCAAATACATCAACTACTTCCGTGGATTCTGGAGTATTTGATTTATCAGACGACAGCGTATTAGACATGACAAAAGATATGAACATTGGTGAGGCAGTGAAGAAAATATTAACTGACGCAAAAACAGATAATCGTCTAATTTTTGGTGTAAAAAATGCAATAAATCATTTTAATGAGACGGAAAATCCAGAGCATTCACTGTTCTTCTTCATGGCGCCAACTAAGGATCATACCACTCACATGAGTACAATATTATTAAAGGCATTTTGTTTTGAAAATGATATTTATACTGTCCAATTAGACAGTGCTGAGAAATTAAGTAGAATTATTAATTCGGATGGATCAAGCTGTGCTTTAGTTCAGAGATCAGATGTCGTTAATGACGTCTACAATACATTTGAAACAATTTTAATTGATCACTGTGAAGATTTCTGGGATGAAGTTGTTCAACCAATTATTCGATTGCCTGAGAAATGAAAGTAGCTAGAACTGGATGTTAGTGGAAAAAAATAATAGCAAAAACAAAACACTTGAAATTGAAAGTGTGAAAAGAATTGTTTAAAATGTGGACATACGATACTGTGTAATTATTTTATCGTCCAGACCACTTCTTGTACAGAACGATGTATTCATCTAAAATATTATTGGGGATGCATCAAAAAACATTGATTGAAGCGAACAATCAAATCGAACATTATGTTAACATTAATCGAGCATTAAGTACATTAAAACGAGATAAGATAAAAGCCATTTATGATTAATATGTAATTAAGTACTAATTATGGTGAAATAAAGGTGTTAAATTGTAAAATTAGTCTTTTTAAAATCATTTGAAAATTGCAGAAACTTTTACGTTTTTCAGAAATTTAAATGTCAACGGGTTTTTAAAATTCAAATTTTAAAAATCAATTCAGGTAGGGGCCGTTCACTTATTACGTTCGCATTTTAGGGGGGAGGGGGGGTTTGAAAAATTGTAACAAAATGTAGCATAGGGGGGGGGGGGTGTCAAGAAGTATGTAACGTTCTAACTGTCGTCTGTCTTTTAAAAAAAGTTCAAGAAAAAAATTTGTTTACAAATTCACACCAACAACATTTTTTTTTAAATTTTCCACCTTTTTAATGATTTATGAATGTCCAGATCACTTTTGATAGCTAAGCAATACATAGTTTTTGTTATATAAAGTAACAAATCAATAGAAAACTGGTTTACAAGACTTTAAAATACAATCATAATTTGTGGAAATTTTCAAAATTAAATCAATCATAAGTTTAAAAGTAAATCTCTCTAAATCTGTCATTCATATGATGATTAATATGATCCCATCGTTGTGATATTTACATTCAAAGTTGATTGAATTTTCCAAAATTCGATCGGGCATAATATTTTTCATGACATTTTTGAATTTTCGGTTTCGATCATAGTAGGCTATTTTCAAAAAAATATCGATTTTATTTCTATTTTAGCATTCTTTATCATTTATAATACCTATATATGTTTTGAAATGCAATTTAAAGCATTTTTGGTTTCGATCATAGTAGGCTTTTTTCAAAAAATTTCGATTTTATTTCTATATTAGCATTCTTTATCATTTATAATACCTATATATGTTTTGAAATGCAATTTAAAGCATTTTTGGTTTCGATCATAGTAGGCTTTTTTCAAAAAATTTCGATTTTATTTCTATATTAGCATTCTTTATCATTTATAATACCTAGATATGTTTCAAAATGCAATTTAAAGCATTTTTGGATTCGATCATAGTAGGCTTTTTTCAAAAAATTTCGATTTTATTTCTATATTAGCATTCTTTATCATTTATAATACCTAGATATGTTTCAAAATACAATTTAAAGCATTTTTGGATTCGATCATAGTAGGCTTTTTTCAAATAAATATCGATTTTATTTCTATTTTAGCATTCTTTATCATTTATAATACCTATATATGTTTCAAAATGCAATTTAAAGCATTTTTGGATTCGATCATAGGAGGCTATTTTCAAAAAAATATCGATTTTATTTCTATTTTAGCATTCTTTATCATTTATAATACCTATATATGTTTTGAAATGCAATTTAAAGCATTTTTGGTTTCGATCATAGTAGGCTTTTTTCAAAAAATTTCGATTTTATTTCTATATTAGCATTCTTTATCATTTATAATACCTAGATATGTTTCAAAATGCAATTTAAAGCATTTTTGGATTCGATCATAGTAGGCTTTTTTCAAAAAATTTCGATTTTATTTCTATATTAGCATTCTTTATCATTTATAATACCTAGATATGTTTCAAAATACAATTTAAAGCATTTTTGGATTCGATCATAGTAGGCTTTTTTCAAAAAAATATCGATTTTATTTCTATTTTAGCATTCTTTATCATTTATAATACCTATATATGTTTCAAAATGCAATTTAAAGCATTTTTGGATTCGATCATAGGAGGCTATTTTCAAAAAAATATCGATTTTATTTCTATTTTAGCATTCTTTATCATTTATAATACCTATATATGTTTTGAAATGCAATTTAAAGCATTTTTGGTTTCGATCATAGTAGGCTTATTTCAAAAAATTTCGATTTTATTTCTATTTTAGCATTCTTTATCATTTATAATACCTAGATATGTTTTAAAATGCAATTTAAAGCATTTTTGCTTTTGATCATAGTAGGCTATTTTCAAAAAAATATCGATTTTATTTCTATTTTAGCATTCTTTATCATTTATAATACCTAGATGTTTTAAAATGCAATTTATTATCTTAATCCAATAATTCATGAGAATACTAAAAGTATCAATCAAAACATGACCTATTAAGCTGTACAGTATTTTGACGTTTAAGAAGAAAAAAATACAAAAGAAATTAAACCGTCTTTTTAGATTTAAAAGAAATAAAATAAATTATGATCGTTCAGGGGGGGGGGGTTGTGAGTTGTAACATATTGTAACAAGGGGGAAGGGGGGGGGGGGGTGAAAAAAGTCGTTTTTTTGCGTAACGTAATAAGTGAACGGCCCCGTAACAAATTTGTTTACATTTCCAAATATTTAGGAAAAATCAATTTACCAATATTAAGGACATCAATATCACAATTCAGTGATGTCTAAACGAACAGCAGACTATTCACAATCTATTCAACCGAGTTCATCTAAAAGACAAAAGACTTTTGGTAAGATTTGAAGCGTTTTGAGTATTTTAAGTAATTTTACATAAATTTTATTAACTTACAGATCCATACAAACTGATAGAATCACTAGAGAGATTATCAATAGCACCTAAACATTCCCATTTTGCATCTACAACCTTTTCATCAAATTCAAATTCAAGTTTTTCAAAAGTGAGAAATGAACGAGACAATAATTTTATTAAATGGAATCAAGTTTCGGAAGGACCTAATCTGCTGGATCTCAATTTTGCTCTAGAGTCTTTAAAATTTAATTTAATGAAACTTCACTGTTGCAAGCCTGAAGACGTGGATAATAACAAGCTATTTTCAATTGCATCCACAGTCCTTAAGAGATTAAAGTTCAAAATTTATTGTGGACGATTTACTTATGTCGAGGACTTCGTTAAAAGTGATTTTTCATATAAACAGGCACAGATGTTTGCAGAACAATATTACATAAATTTGGATATGAAGAAGTCCAACAATTTCATTACATCCAGAACAGCTTTATTACTGGATGATAAGCCTATTTGTGACGGTGAAAAGTATATTCAAGCTAGACAAATCATAGAATGTATCTCACAAATTGCAAGTGAATCAAAACAATTTTCCGAAATGATGCTGACTGAAAAACTAGATTTGGATGTTTCACTGACTTTGCCAAGCACTAGCGAGCAGCAAACAATGGTTGATCTAATATGCTTAATTACAACATCAATAATTAAAGATAATCGATACATTGCAATGAATTTTGGCTTGGTCGTAGCTGTTACTCATCTACTCCAAAGCTTGACATCCCATTTTGATAAATACAGTAACATTAAGGATATATGCATAGGATTGGAAAATATGTTCACGTTGGTATTACAATTGGCAACATTTGACGTTGAAATTATGTTAAGCTTATCAGAATCATTCGTTAATATTACTCACAAAGACTCAAATCGAATGACGCTCTTCAAAAGTATGTGTATCAGCTATCCATTTACAAACTTGGAATATTCCTGGACTTTTCGGTTAATGCGAATGGATTTATGTCCAGGATGTAAATTTCAAATATTCTTTATTCTATTAAATCACGTGTTTCGTTTTTACGATGTGGAAAAAATAATCGATGATCGACTGGATGCACTAATTAGAATCACACAAAATATGAATTACTTGGTCTTCATTTTTTTGGCTAATGACGTTGACGTGAAATTTTTGGTGCCAAACAAGGGCTACTCAAGAAAAGTGGAAGATGCTTGCTTTTGTTATCGATTTCTGCTTCTTGGTACACTAATTTTGAATGTCATGCTTTTTAAAAATCAAAATTCTAATCCAAGACGTAAGTACAAGTCTATCGTAAACAAATGATATTGATTCATGCTTTTTGGTACTATTCTTGTCATAATGCTCAACAAATGAAAAGTTGTGCAATCAACAGTTCTCAAAAACGTGACTATACTCATCACACTTAATCTAATCTAATCTTTCTTTCCACATATGACATTTTTTTTCAGACTATCAAACAATTATCTCTTTAAGACAAGACAGTCTTATCATTCTTAATGGTTTATTGAATTATTCGTACGATAGTCCCGATTTTTGGAAAAGTCCACCGCACCTTATGATGAATGAAATATTTGTGGCAATAAATTTTGATGACCTTTATTTCTTAAATGACTCTAAAACGCGAATTTATCCAGACAAACGAAAGATCTTTGAAATGTTTATTGTAAAGAATCCTAGAAAACTGCAAGGTTTGTAACTATTATAATTGTTTTTAATAATTTTAGCCAGACTTTCGCTTATCTTGTAGCAAATTTGAATCCGTTCAAACTTTTTCTCAAGAAATTTGACCCAAAGAACGCTAGACTTTTTGAAATGAAACTTGATGATGATGACAGCAATATTAATCGAAGATCTGTCAAAAGATTGAAGCATCCTGCAATAAAAATGAGTAGAGAAGACTTACTCAAGGAATTTGCTGATGATTTCAAAGCGGATGAAAGGTATCAAGTACAATTTTAAGGTTTTTTCGTGGTCTTATTTCCAACTAATTTCTAATTTGCAGTGTCATGTTCTCAGTAGAACATTTAAAGAAGGATAAGAAATAAAAACATGCCAAATCACTATGTTATTGATTATTAACAATTTATTGAGACATTCTATTTTTAAATATTTTTATTTTTAATCCGTATGTAAATTTGCGAGCGGCTGATGACTTGTTAAACTACGAAATCAAAAAAGTCCAAACACAAATACGTCAATTGAGTGACGCAAGCACGGTCAAATGCGAGATTTTTGTATATTTTGAGACACACATTATCAGCAGTTCTCTCCTCTCTGATGTTTTAGCGGTAAGCACATGCAGTTTTAATATTGTTGTTATTTTTTTTTTTTTTGGATAAACGTAAACAAAACCACCGTTCCGCAATAGTACGAATATAAAAATTCTGTTGAATCATGATTACGGACCGAAAATGGAATCAGAAAGAACAAGTTTTTCGGCGCATTTTGCTGAAAATTAATTTCTCTAAAAACAAAATTCGTCTTAAAAAAGTCTTAATTGCCGACGCAATTTTCTTTTTCAACTTATATTGTGATAAGACGCATTAAAGATTTCTGAATTAAGGAAACAAAGAGTTTGATAAGAGATTAATAAGAACAACAAAGAAGTTCATTAGAAAATTTCATCATTTATTTCTATCGCTTAGTTTGATAATTACAATATCATCATATTTAACAAAGACACTTTCTCTTACAAGCTGTGTATAGTTTAATGCCTTACAGTTTATACATTTTGCTTTGTATTCAATGTATAAGTAGCTTCAATGATTCTCAGTGACATTTCAAGTTCACTGATTCTTTTCATTTTTCTTTTTAAATAATTTTCAATCCAACAATTTTTATCATTAATTATTTTCATTTTTCTGGTAATCTAATGATTGGTTGTACTCTTGCTGACCAGTTGTCTTCACAGTAGTCAATCAAGTCATTTTCTAATTCTGAGAATTCATCAAGATCAATTTCATCATCTGGATGTTCAATTTTGATTGTGGATGATCGTTGAATGAGTGCACAAGTGTGATGAGATTTAGTTCCAATAATTGAATTAAACTTTTCAATGTTGTCAATTTGAATGACATAAATATCATTTTCAAGACAATATGCTCTTGTCATGACTTCTTGCATATGTGATAACTTATCATCGGAATTGGATGGAACAAGAATGAAAAACAATGAGTGTTCTGGGTTTTCCGTCTCGTTCAAATATTTGATTGTATCTTTCCATCCGCAAATTAAGCGATTTTCATTTTGTGCTTCACTCAAAATTTCTTTGACTTTTTCACCAACATGCACTTTTTGTCTCAAATCATATTCATCGTCACTTGTTATGTCCACATCAAATATTCCCGATTCCATGGATGTTGTGGATGTATTTGATAACGATTTGAAGTATTCCTTAACCATTTTTGATTTTATCTTATTTTTATTTGTATAATAACTGTTTATGATTGTTTTTCACGTGCTTCCTTTTCGGGTAATCGGTAATTTATTTTATCTAGCACTTGTCAGGAACAAAATATTGTTTTGTTTTTATTTTATTAAGAAATTTGTCTTTTTCTTCTTTTAACGTTATTTTGAGTTCTTTTCACGTTCACTTTGTGTTTTTGAATGAGAAAATGAGCAATAATTGCAGTCATATTTATAGCAATCCGCTCTCAAATGATGAAATTCTCCGACGAAACCAAAACAGAGAGTGATAACATGGCCATAACGTTGTGAAAAAACTTCATTAGATTGTAGGGAAAAAACCCCGAAGGCTGAGGAATTCCGTTGAATTTTTATTTCTTGCTTCTCTCTCGAATGTTCTCTATGAAAAGCCCAAAGTCCATCCAAGACTTAAAGAGCGTGACACACTTAATTAAGTGTCTGATTTAATGATTTAGCGCAGTAGACGTCTTCTGTATTTACTTTCTTTATGATGATTTGGCGTTTTTTTGGGATGAGAGGACTTTGTACGCTCATCTTTTAATTTGTAAGTCCGATGACATTAACCCGATGATGTGAATGTACAATGTTCATTTTACGTATAATGACTGTTTTAGATGCTTACAGTGATTAATTATTAAATCGTAAAAAAGCCATGCTGTAGGAAAGGACGCAACATGCCGACGTTTTTTTGGGGAGTCTTCTTTCTTCCATCATAATTTCATATTTATTTTATACAGTCCACGCGATTGATTATCTCAGAGCAATTTACACCGCAGTTGAGATTATTAATTAATGTTGTTTTGACAACAAATAATCAAAATTTCATGTTGATCTCAACTATTTGTGACGATTTATATGATGCTCTGTTATTGTTTACTTGGTTTTTGGGGTGTGTCTGTCGTAGATTGTGTTTACTTGTCTTGTACACGTTTTTTAATGTAACTAAGTTGATAATCGATAAGGGACTGTTCACTTATTACGTAACGCGAAAAAATGACTTCTTAGACCCCCCCCCCCCCCCTTCGTAACAAAATTTGTATGAAAAAAAAATTTCCTTGTTCGAACCGTAACAAAATCTTAGACCCCCCCCCTCCCCCTAAAAGCGTTACGTAATAAGTGAATGGCCCCTAAGGAATATTGGATTTTTTTAAGGAGAGCGTGGAGAAAATAACACATTAATATATTTTGCACTTGTCTGTTGTTGACATCTGATTCCTTGAGTTGATTGGCTTGCTTTTTACTTCCTTTTGTCAATTTATATTTTTATATTTATAGTTTAAAATTAGGACTTTCTATCTATTTATTCAAAACAACTTTGAATTTATCACAAAATCTCCCCCCCCCCCCTTGTTACAATATGTTACAACTCACACCCCCCCCCCCCCCCTGAACTAATTTATTTTATTTTGATAATTTTTTATTCTAAAAAGACGGTTAAATTTCTTTTGTATCTTTTTTCTTAAACATCAAAAAACTGTTCAGCTAAATAGGTCATGTTTTGATTGATACTATTAGTATTCTCATGAATTATTGGATTGAGATATAAAGCAAAAATTTTGTTTTTTTTTTTGAAAAAAATTCAAAAATATTATGCCCGATCGAATTTTGGAAAATTCAATCAACTTTGAATGTACATATCACAATGATGGGATCATATTAATTATCATATGAATGATATTAAAAAGATGGAAAATTTAAAAAAAATGTTTTTGGTGTGAATTTGTATACAAATTTTTTTCGTGAACTTCTTTTTAAAAGACAGACGACAGTTTGAACGTTACATTTTTCTTGACCCCCCCCTCCCCCTATGTTACATTTGGTTACAATTTTTCAAACCCCCCCTCCCCCCCTAAAATGCAAACGTACTAAGTTCAAAAACCTTACAACAGCATTAGAATTTTCAAAATCTAAAAAATCTCAATCGTCGTTGAAACTTTTATATCTTCAATTCCGCGAAGCGTTTCTGTACACGAGAAAAAGAAACAGCGTTTTACATTTTTATAGGGAATTTTCATAATATTTTTGTATTTCTGAAAAAAAGTATAACAATAATTCATCTTCAAACAGATCGAGTCACTGTGCTTTCCTCTTAATATCTGTTGCTCTATATTACTTAATGTTCTCTTCTGAAAATTGAGTCATCTGCTTGAATGTTATTTTTTTGGCATCAAGTCAAAATAGTACATGAAAATTTTCATGAATCTTCAGCTTCGCTATAACAATCTTCGTTATAGAGAAATCTGTAAATATATACACTGTGTTACAGATAATCTACAAATTCGATACAAAATGAAATTTTATAGGAATCCCCATGAAGAACAAATATAGAATATCAATCAACATTTACTGCGTATTTTCATTGATGCTCTCTCAATTGTTCATTGTAATGAGATTGAGTAAATCGATAATGTTATCGACCGTATATGCGCTTGCAAGTAGATAAATAAAAACTTTTTTTTTGTTTCGGTGATTTTTGTGCCATGGGCTCACAACTTCCGTGAATGATTATCATGTGTGTCAATCACGACGTATGAAGTAAGTTTGCAATGAACTAATTAGGCATAAATCGCAATTAAATAATATTGACGGACGTGTGATTTTGTTAATTAATTGATGGAATATTCAAGACGCATTTACGGTAGCATTATCAGTTATTAGCAATGATAAAGCATGTGAGTTTTGAGGGTTGAAAATTTATTAGGTTTGTGATAAAATTTTAAGGATTTTTTGGACAAGATAGTGAGAAAAGAAGTCAAGGACGGACCATATCGAGTATGTTTAAACTCCGTTAATCCTTTCGTTTAAGGTTGTCTTTGATTTTATAATGGATTTAACATCAGTAAATATATTACCCCTTAAAAAGTGATCAACTACTTTGCGTTCTTCCAACCATACAATTTATAATTTGGAGTTTTGAACGCTTTAATATCAAAGCTATATCCATGTGACTCTAAAGGTCGTCCACTCTTCTTGATAAAACTTTTTGGGAAAATTATAAAATTTGGCAAAATCCATCGTTTCTGGGTTAAATGCATTTTCCCAACAAAATTCCATCTGATTTTATAAAACTGACATTCAAAGAAGAAATTTTGGATATACCCTGAATAATAAATTTCCAAAATCCCATTAACATTTCAAATGCAAATCATTATCAGCCACTTTACTCACGTATGACAAATAATTATACACGCTTAACCTTTTTTCGTAGGAATGAAGGAAAAATAATAACATTAAGTGAAATACGATCAAGTGTCAATGCCTCAATATTTTTATTATTTTCCAATCGTGTAACTTTTTATGAAGAAATTCAAGAAAAATACTTTTTATGCAAAAATTCAATGATCAAATAACAAAAACATTGAACCTACAAATGTTATGTACCCTACATATTATCTGTCACATGTAAAGTGAATGATAAAAAGTGCTGAGCTGTATGGACGCTCAAAGAAAGAAAAGAAAAGAGAGAATAAAAGTAAAAAGTCATTTTTGTTCACGTGGAAGAACTGGAGAGTATGGAAATATTTTACAATTTAATGAAATTAATAACAACCATCGATAAGATGAAATGTGCTACAATTAATGTATTAATGAAGTAGTAAATAATTTTCTGACGGGGAATTTCGAAGTATTTGATAAGGATTACTGCAGAATGTTTTTTTAATTCAAAAAATAAACCAAATTCATTTTAATCGCAGTTCCAGTGATTCTTTGTATTATCACGTTAAAAAATACCCAAATTATTTAAAACAACCGCAACAACTGATTAGCTGATCTGTTTTCGGTCGGCTTTCTCACGAAAAATAAATAATAACATGAGACGTAGATGCAGCATGTGAGTAGAACTCTCAGCTGAGATAATTCAACTTAATATAATTTAATTGTTTATAAGAATATTTTCAACCACATGATGAAATTAGTGCTAAGAGACGAGAATGTAAATAAGAACTGCTCTTGACTAGATAGTGCGAAGTAACAGCTGATTGGTGTCAATTTTACTGGAATTTGGGAGTGCGCTATATAAATTTTTTTAATTTGAATGTAGTAAATAATTCAAGGATGTGGAAGACAATGTTGCGTAGCTATTGAAATTATGATAAGTTTTCTGTAATTGATTTCTAATTTTTTAAGGGATTAATGGTTTTGTGACAATGGATAGAAAAAAGAAGGGGACCCATTTAAAGATAGATATACGACTACTTAGCTACTTATCTATAGTGACTCTTTTTACATCAGAAGTGTAATTTCATCGTTTGGTGAAATGAATTCCGAATGATATTTTAAAATGCTCAGTATATTATATTGAAGGTTCTTAAGCCGTGAGATAAGTTTACCAGAAAGATCTACCTTGGTCAAAGAAAATTTATACTCTTATATCAAGGTAACGCACATCGATTTTTGATTCTAAGAAGCTTGTTCCGTGTAGTTCTAGAAAACCAAGTTCTCATTAGCAAAATCAATTTTTGGAGTGAGTGGAGGGGAGGGGTCATAAGGTCGTCAAGCTATTCCTATTTACTATAGTTAAGCAACTTACTTGTTTGATCAATTAAAAAATAAATCTTTTTAGATTTGACCTTGAATCTATGTCATTGAACTATATATCATCTAGAAATCAATTTTAAGTAGTTCACATTCAACATCCAAGATATTCATTCAGGATTTAATAATTAAATTTCCCAACAATCAGCTCAGATCATTCATTCGTCAGAATACTTACCAGACATTCAGAAACTACAGTACAAATCACTCATTCAATTCAACGCCCCATAAAATCAAACATAATATCGTAAACAAATAATGAATCAACGCAGAAATTAAGAATATCATCGTAATAATCGGACCCAGAAGTCCGGTAACAGTTTAAGTAGATGTACGCAAATTTTTTGCACATTCATGATGATAAAAAAATAAGATGAGAGAAATATTATCTTTGACCATTCACTTATATTACCATAGCATTAAACCATATCACGTTTTCTGCAACTCACCGGACTTTGGGCTTTCCGAATGAGAACTTGTTCAGTTTTGTATTATTGAGAGAGACAAACTGGAGAATAAGAAGAACATATTACTTGGAATTTTAGACTGCCGTTTGGGTTTTTTTGCTTGTTATTTGGTATTTCACAATGTGTTATCGCTCTCTGTTTTGGTTTCGTCGGAGAATTTCATCATTCGAGAGCGGATTGCTATAAATATGACTGCAGTTATTGCTCATTTTCTCATTCAAAAACACAAAGTGAACGTAAAAAGAACTCAAAATAACGTTAAAAGAAGAAAAATACAAATTTCTTAATAAAATAAAAACAAAACAATATTTTGTTCCTGACAAGTGCTAGATAAAATAAATTGCCGATTACCCGAAAAGGAAGCACGTGAAAAACAATCATAAACAGTTGTTATACAATTAAAAATAAGATAAAATCAAAAATGGTTAAGGAATACTTCAAATCGTTATCAAATACATCCACAACATCCGTGGAATCGGGAATATTTGATGTGGACATAACAAGTGACGATGAATATGATTTGAGACAAGAAGTGCATGTTGGTGAAAAAGTCAAAGAAATTTTGAGTGAAGCACAAAATGAGAATCGCTTAATTTGCGGATGGAAAGATACAATCAAATATTTGAACGAGACGGAAAACCCAGAACACTCATTGTTTTTCATTCTTGTTCCATCCAACTCCGATGATAAGTTATCACACATGCAAGAAGTCATGACAAGAGCATATTGTCTTGAAAATGATATTTATGTTATTCAAATTGACAACATAGAAAAGTTTAATTCAATTATTGGAACTAAATCTCATCACACTTGTGCACTCATTCAACGATCATCCACAATCAGAATTGAACATCCAGATGATGAAATTGATCTTGATGAATTCTCAGAATTAGAAAATGACTTGATTGACTACTGTGAAGACAACTGGTCAGCAAGAGTACAACCAATCATCAGATTGCCAGATTGAGCTTAATATGAAATATTATTGAAATAATGGAATTAAAATAATATAATACTTCATCATCATCAGTGAGAGTATTATGACTTGATGAGAGAAGAGACTCTTCTTTACCGATCATAATTCACATGACTGAAGCAAAAAAGAAACGGTTTTACCGGCAAACGTTATATGTGCGGAAGAGAATGTAATATATGAATCTACGGCAGCAAATGTAAATATATATTACCCGTATTAGACATACAGCAAAAATAATCGAGAGCTTATTGTTAATAAGAATAAACTTGTTAGCATAATTATTTACTAGGATATAAATAAATGTATCAAAAAGTAACAAAAAACTGTTTTTATTCTATTTTAGTCACAGAAAGAATAAAGTTTAGGTATGAGGATACGCGCGTAAAGACTTTAGGTTTTCCCAGACATCCAGGAGCTCCGTAAGAGACGATTCCTAAGACTGTCATGTTATTTTCAGCCCTTTCTATGATTCCCGAGCCTGAATCACCGCGACATGTTGTATGATTGAAATGTGCCTGACCTATCGCACATAATTGTGACTCATTGATTTTCCATTCCCACTCCTTACTACATTCTTCTATTGGGATTTCTTTCATTTGAACGTATCGTAAATAAAGCATAGACTGCGAGGCATTTTTAGTCTCTCCAAAACCCGGAACATAAAGAATTTCTTCAGATTGAGTTTGTGACGTCGATGGTAGACTGACTGGTTTGATATATTCTGTGAAATTCACCGACCTCTCAAGTTTTACTAAGGCAATGTCATGAGCATTTACATTTTTATAAAGCGGATGAATGATTACATCCTTGAATTTCAACTTTATGGGCATTGCTCTCCAGAATACTGAGCCTAGATATGCTCTACCGGATATCATCTTTTTGAAGCAGTGAGCTGCCTGGAAAGAATGTTTTTTATGAGACGGATCTTTACTTTTATTTGGATGTATCCCTTTGTTAGAGACTCTTCTTAACTTACAGTTAAAACCCATTGATCGTTCAACAAGCTTCCTCCACAATATTGTGGTACATCCGCAGTCTTAATAGACAATTGAACCATATGAGGAAATTGTCCATCCATCGCATTTTCACCATTTATTATTTTTGGTACAGCTTCTGTACTATCAAAGCTAATCCAAACTAGAATTAACACAGTGCACAACTTCATTTTATGACAATTACTGACATAGCAGTAGTAAAAGTGTCATGGTTTTATAGATCAATCTGCGGTATATACCCACATCATTTGTAAATAAATTCAAAGGCATTTTTTTTTCATAATTTTTGAATGCTTTTATTACATAATTAATATGCATAAATATATCAATCTATATAGATTTGTGCAGCTCCCAAACATAGCCGTACTGAAAACCATTATTTTCAATGCACACATTCTCTGGAAGTTTGTAATCTTGGAGAAGCTTTAAATTTAAATTTTTACATACATTAAAAGCATGACGACCCGGATCACCAATTATGATTCTTTTGTCAGCAGATATGAGACTTTGAATCCATGGAATAATTTGGACAGCGAATTCCTCATCATAAAATACATCACCCAAAAAGATAATGTCGTAGTTAAAGGAATCAGGATGATTAATTAAATTGCGGCTATCAGTTTCTAATTTTACATCATTAAGTCTTGCATTCATATTTACAGCTATTAACGAAACTTCATCGATATCATTTGCAACTGCTTTTTTAGCACCACACATCATAGCTGCAATAGAAGAGGCACCACTTCCACATCCGAAATCTAAGCATGTCTTATTTTTAACTAAATTTGGATTATCCAGCATGTATCTAGTCAAAGCAATACCACCAGCCCAGAAAAATGCAAAAAATGGCTCATGTAATTCACTTTCATCGGCCTTGGCATGATAGAGTCTACAATTCTGAGTAATTAAATGCAATTTGATTTCAGGTACGAGTTGATTCGTTACAATTTCAGTTTCTTTGGCAATAATACTTTCAAAGTAGCTTATTTTGGTGCTATAATGATTAAATCTAATGACTTTGAACTCTATTTGTATTAATTTTCTTATTAATCTTGTCGTAAACATATTTGTTTTTGTTTTGATACTGCTGTTCACGTGTGGACGAAGGGTATGGCATGCTGTTGATTTTTAAACAAAAACAGTTTACTGGATCTACAAAACCATTGTTAATTATCAGAATTCATAACATATTTTTATTGACAGCCTTAATTCTTAATTTACAATACAGATCCCAAATTAAATAGACCCTTTTGTACAGCCGACTTCCGTTTCTTGATCTTTCGTTTGTGATTGCCTACATTAAGCCAAGGAGGGTAGGAGCCATACTGATCTTTTAACGTCTTTGTGTCAAATTCATGGAGTTTTCCTGTGTTGTCATTTTTGATCTTCATGATTTTACCCTTCCTCTTCTTTTTTGTGGCTTTCTTGGATGTTGATGTTTCCAATTTCTCCTTCTGTTCCTCAATAAACTCTTTCTTCAGAGTTGCTTCTAATTGTTTCTATAAATAAGTCATTATAATATTTAATTTCCATTGGATATGAGCCTATATATGATGTGCTTACCTCTTTAATTTCCTGCAATTTTTTTTCATCCACAACTTCTGAGCATACTTCCATTATATCCTTTCCACAAGATACAATTTTCTGTAATTTCTTCAATTCCTTCTGTTTTGATTTGTTTTTGACACTTTTTAACTTACGATTAGCCTGTCGCTTACTTTTGGATCGTGCTGTCATGTTGAAATCTTATTATAATTAACTTTTATTTTAATTCAGCAAAATTCAATGTTTTTATTTTGATTTTTAAGGTTAAAAGGATACAGTAAAATCTCGATAGTATGGACAGTCGGTAAATCCATGTCATTCGAGCAGTTCCGTTAAAAAAAATTCGATTTATGCGCTTTAAAATTGTGTAAACAGAAAAATAATTAAAAATGGTAAGAAATAGATGATTTACACTGTTCTGTTTAATCTAATTAAGTTCATTTTTAGCTGTTCTATTCATTCTTTAAATCACTAGTTGGAAAAGATGTCATAGTGGAGCTGAAAAATGATTTATGGTAAAAAATCGCAAAACGTTTGTTTGAAAATTGTTTTATTCAATAATTCTCTTATTAATTACAGTATATCTGGTACTTTGCATAGTGTAGATCAATATCTCAACATCAAATTGACTGATATCAATGTGACAGATCCAGAAAAATACCCTCATATGCTTAGTGTTAAGAATTGCTTTATTCGAGGATCTGTTGTACGGTAAGTAATTCTGAAGTTCTATTTCATTGAGGAAGAGAATCATAATATGATTAGTGCATATTTCCATTCCTGGATCACCACTGAAAGATCCGGCAAGACAAATTTTATCTTAGATTTATGTCTTTTCCAGATACGTTCAATTACCAGCCGATGAGATCGATACTCAATTACTACAGGATGCATCCAGAAAGGAGAGTACAACGAGTACGCGATAAAGTCACATCCATCAACTTTACATTTAAGTATCTCTGAAATTTTTAAGTTCTGTATAATTCATGAAGAAAAAAGTTCATTTAAAGTCAAAGATAAGTGGATGAAGCATAAGAGTGTTAAGGAATAAAAACTAAAATGTGAAGACAGGAAGATATAAACTAACTTAAATAAAATAATTTTTAATTTCTGAATTCCTTTTTTTTATCGAGTAGATTTCAATTTTACAATTTACTTTTGTCAATCAATTCTCATTGTTCAACATCGTTCGATTACTGACTTTACAACACAAATAATCACAATATTAATAGCTAGTCGCCAATAATTTTAAACAGTTCATAAAACTACATATATATCAAAAAAGGTGATTTTTTGGTATTTTCTTTATTTAATAATTTGCATGGCACTAAATTTCTTGTTAATGATTCTTGTTCTGTATTAATCCTACTCCTAAAACGTTGAAGGATTGCTTGACTAAATTCTATTGCTCAATGCTGGCTCCTATGAAATAACTACTTTGCATTTGATACAGCTTGTCTATGTGGGTCATGAGATTTGCAGTGGAACTAAGATTATTATTATTATTAATTTGAAGTTGGTCTAGTTGTAAGTGATGTGAGCTAAGATTGAGATTATGAAGCGATACTGAGTCTGATGCATCGTCTAAATGATCAAAATTACTTCCGTCAAGCGAAATATCTGAACTGCAGATGCTGTCATTAGAATGTGCTGGATAATCTATAAATGAAATTTTATTTATTAAACTTAGATTTAATTGGGGAAAGTTAGATGAGCTTACCATCAGGTGAAAACGGTAAATTGGGATTAAGAGGTTGTCCATAGGAATTATCGAGGATATAATCGCTATCGGGTGATTCTAGCTTGATTTTATCATCCTTTTCTTTATCACTTCCTTTATCACCATCGCTTTTTGATTTTCGTTGTATTTTCTTGCACTTTGCACGCTATGGATGGTAAAATATAATTAGTAAGACATAACCAGTAATAAACTTTCAACAGTCAAAAAATATTTGAACAATAACGGTTTTTGAAAGTTTAATTTTTTTGAACCGGATCAAAATGGTTAAGAAATTCAAATAATATTGACACGTTATAGATTAAAAACTTCAGCTTACCTGATTTTGGAACCAGACTTGCACAACTCGAACACTAAGTCCTGTATCTTTGGCTAATGCTTCCCTGACTTTTCTACATGGCTTCGGCGATACATCAAATGACGCCTTAAATTGCCTTCGTTGTGAAGAAGTTAAAATAGTTCGTGGTCGTTTAGGACCTCGACGTCCATCACGTGATCTAACATGATGCTCCTCAATAACATAATCGTCATCATAAGTTTGTGGTATGAATGATTCCTTTTCAAAATCAGCTCGACACAGCAATTGACCACCGCGAAATGCAAATTGTTCGCCTTTTTGTAATGGCTGATTACAGCTACAGCATGTAAAGCAATTGACATGATAAATGAAGGAATTTTGTATTTTCATCACCATTTCATCGGGCGTTATTTTCTCGCAACATCGAACACATTTTGTACCATAGATTCTATATAATGTTGGAAATGGAACAGATTGATGAATTGTCTGAATATGTTATGCATGATCTAAAACCTACCTATAATAGTCATCCTTACAATAAAGCTTTGAATTTCGCACATAGCATTTGTAATTTAAGAGCAAGTTGCAGATATTGCATGTTAAACATGACTCATGCCAGCTCTTATCCGCCACATTGAGATAGTAACGATCGTAAATTTTCTGTGAACATCCTTCGCATATCTCATAAGTTTTCTCGCATTTTATTGTGGCTGTTAATTCTGTTAAGGGAAAGAAAAATAAAATTGATAATTGATTTTTTTGGGGGGGGAATTTATATCGATCCAGTCAGTATACAATTAATTTTCACAATGCACACAGTAAACAAATTGGTGTTACTTGTTGATTGATTTATGATTGTTTTCTCATTCCACATATGTTTCAATTTTCATAGCTATACAATCTACCTTCTTTTTTTTTATCAACAATGATATTGATCTGTTATCGGATTGTCAATATTTATATTCAGGAAAATTTGCTTATGGGCTATACAAACAAGTATGCAACATCAACTCGTGTTTTGTGTCATTTCTGGTAATGCCTTAAAGCTCAAAATTGAATTTACGGTATCTACAAAATACAAGTTGTTTTACCAAAACTTTTCAAGTGATTCGAAAATCGATGATTTGCTTGAGGAATTGGAAACTTGAAAGTTTAATGACTTCTTTTATATTTATTATTCTTAGGCATTGTACAGGCAGTTGGTAATCTTGTTGAATTGTTTGGCACGTGATTTTATAAGTTTAAAAATATTTATTGGTGAATATTTTATGGATGATTAATAATTCCTAACATTAGTTGGAACTTAAAATGATGCTTAACAGTCTCAAAGACCTAATCTGATAAACTAAGGCAGTGTTGATTTTGACCTGGTCCTAGATTCATATGTCTTACATCCCCTAATGCACAAAAATCTAAATCTGAGCTTAATATTAATTTTATTACCAAGCACAGAACTTGCTCAGATATTGATTTAAAGTCTGAATCAGTCTAAATTAATGTAAGTTTAATTCGTGATTTTAGATTTTGCATAAACTAAATGACAAGCCCAATATAATCAGATGGAAAATTAACATATGTTTGTAACCTAATCTCAACATAGTAAAATGGTTACAGTAAGGAAGTAAGTACGTCTTATTTTGAATGAATTTAAAATGAAAGAAAAATGACGAAAAAAATTAAAATTTTAAAATTGCTGAAAACTTTAGTTTATTTTTTTGCAAACATTTCCAAACTAGCAACAACCTATTAAGTCAGAATTAGTGTCGCTAAAACCTTTAAATTATGGAATTTTTCGAATTATTCATCAGTTTACATATAAAATTTGACAAATCTTCACAAATCTCACTTTTATATCACTTCCTAAACTTTAGCCACACATAATTTAATCAGTAAAGACAGTTATTAAGTAATTTGACTGAATTATTCAATAGTTCCAAAACTTAATTTAAATTTAATTCTAGAAGATTTTCATTTTGATTCATCATATGATTCCTTCAGATTTGATAAATTTCTCAACTATTGAAAATCATAAATTTAGACAAAAAATCTCAATTAAAAACTCCAAAACAATTTAAAGTACCAGAAACTAATGACACAAAGTATTTGTAATTACCAAAACATACTTTCAGTCTGAACTGAGTGTAAATATTTCCATAACTAATTGATTGTTTATACAAAAGTTTGTAGTTTATTAAAAAAATGCAATAAACATATGAGAAGAATGCAGGCAGCAGTATCATAAAAAGGAATCATCTTGCTACATTGTAAAACTTTAACACAAAAATTTCATAATGAATTATCAAGCTTGAGTTATCACACATACCTGACGAACCACAAGTTAAGGTTTTATCCGATTCTATGTCACTTATCATTCCAGAATGAATATTTAAATTTTGGTAGAAATCCAGCATGATTGAAATTTTCTTTGGTATTGATTCTTCTTAAAAATTATTATTTTTGTCTTTGGCAAACGGATGAGGTATCTTAAAGTTATTTACTATTTATTTTCATTGTTTTTGCAAAGCACACAAACTTTTTCTTCTTTTCTTTGGAATCTCTGTCGATGGATCACTAAACTTTTACCTTATATTTTTTCTACATCAAAATAAAAACTTTTTTTTACGTTAAAAACACTTTAAAACACGCTTTATAGAAGTGATCGCACGATATATAAATCGCGTCGTTTCACGACAAGTTTTGGTAATTGAATGAAAACAGTAAGTAAAGATACAAAGAGGGTTCAATCGTATTACATGAAAGAAAATGACATTTTAGTCATCCCCTCCACATTTTATGCTGTTCTGAGGGGGTTGTGAGATGTAGTTCTATTTCATATTTTTAATGTTCATGCGCTACTATTCATTCATGTGAGACAAATATGGTACATTATGAAAATGTTTTGGACACGCCCACAAAATTTTCTTCTCCTCTTCATTGCACTTCTTTTAAGCGCTGCCAGATGTCGCTCATGTGTCACACAAAATGCATGAACATTTTTTATGAACCCGATTATGGATTTTCTTACGCTTTCGTCTTTTATTGCATGACTTTTATGATTCTCATTGTTCTCAACGAGCGCGCGAGGAATGGAGACGGGTTCGTCATAAAAATATTTAGCCATGAAACTTTATGGATTTGACGATGGATTTGGCATCATAAAGCTTTAGCTCAGAAGAAACAATGCAATAATCAGAAGATATTTATGGCAGTATCATCCTTATGTCGACATTTAACATGAAAATATTCGCAAATTTTTTATGAATAGCTAAGCATTATGGAAAGAATGGATTTTTCTTTAAACGACACGTGATGGAAAGGCTTTAAAGTATTTTATTCGAGGAATTTTCATTCAAATCTGAATGATATGGAAAAGAATGTTGGATTTGTGGGTTTACTTAAAGTCTAATAATTAAATTAAAGTAAATTTTAGATGTTTACTTCTGAAAGTTTGAAATGAGACTGAACAAGTTACAACAAAAAAAGGGTTAGAAACTATTTAAAATTTGGTAAATTTTTGCATATTTCAAAATTAATATATCCGTTAAAAACACTCGAATCTATAATTGAAATTTAAATCAACTCTACATAAAAGGAAAGGAACCACGAGTGATATATGTCATGACAGAATAAAATGAATGTATAATCACTTCACCTGTTAAAACGTTCTATTTTTACATCCTAATTACTCATGTTCTACGCCATATGTTTCATCATCATACGGATAAAAAAAGTGGAACTCTATAAAATGACTCAATTAAAACGAAATTAAAATCCAAACCCATAAAACGACACTTTCATGAACACTAAAAGTTGGAAAATGTGAAAAATGTCTACCGATGGAGCCCTTTTCTGTGTGGCAAGAAAGCCGCAAAAAACATGTACCAATTATGAGTCGAGCATGCAACCCATTCCATAGACTTTTTTTCTCTTTACCCACTCCGTTTTCGTTTTCTGTGTAGCTATGAAGTAGTCGACTAAATATGCGTTTGCAAATGTCTCGAGATAGTCAATGGAATTTTTACCTGGGTTGATAATCGTTAGAAGGAGTCAGTATGGAATGAGGAAAAGCCACAAAGAAACCCTTTTTCTACTACCATAAAAATGAAACTATTTCCGGAATGATATAGAAAAATGATGTTACATTCATCATTAGAATTTGAGACTCTTCTGTATTAAGGACAAGTTTGGTTAAAAAACCTCTCATTTTCTTTTCACGTGCTTTTATGTCCGAATATATTGAAATTTGCTAGATACGAAATATTAAGTCTGTAACGCAAATATTAAAGATCAGATTTAGTACGTACTGTAAAGCAAATATGTAATAAATACTCAAAAAAATTGATGGGAAATAGAATATTGGTATTTTTTTTTATTTATTTTCGATGACTTTCAGTCGAAACAAAGTTTTTTATGGAAATTGATGAAAATGTTTATGAATGTCAACACAGAATATTGTATAATACGCTTTGGGTTATATAAAAAGTTAAGTGACTCTACTGAGTAATTGATAAGCCGCTTGCCTACAATTTGGTGTAGGAACTCAACACTTTGACTACTTATAATAAAATTAAGACGAGTTTGGAGCTTCTGACAACTTTGAACTACTGGAATTGACCAGGAAATAGAAGTGTGTGCTGACTTTGAGATTGAAATATTCAAGGCGTGGAAACTATCTCAAATATCCCATTCATCCCATATATCCCAAAAATATTCAAATAATCCCTGAGCCTGTATGCATTAGAATTGAGATATCTCATCATATCCTGAAATTACACGTCCAATACACTAAGGATACGTTGGGATATCTTTACTATCGTGCATAAATGCTCAGGAATTTTTTGAATATTTTTTGGATATGTGGGATAAATATGATATTTGGGATAGTTTCCAAGCCTTGGAAATATTAAAATCATTCATTTACCATGTCCGACATTTAGGAGGCTGGGCTGGGGTCATTTTGTGAAAGATCAATCCAGAAAAGAAATAACTTCAAAATCTTTGATGAAAGTCATAAATGAACGATCCTTGATCACGTTATGGATACTTTAATTAGTGACGTGGCTCAAAAAATTAAAAACTGTATCCCTTCGGCATAGACACCCAGAAGTAGTGTTTGTATTAATAATAACAACAGCTGACTTAGTGGATGGTAAAAGATTTCAAGGTTGACATAGATTGACTCTGTGAGCAACGATGTAAATGCACTAAGCTAAAGCAACTGTCAGATATTGTCTAAAGATAGCGTCACTTTTTGACTTAACCTCAAATGTGGCAATGATCGACCCTTAAGCGCCTTAACCAAGGAAGTAAGTAAGCAATTATTCCTATTCCTGTTGTTAAACAAACATTAAAGTACAATAAGCAGTAAAACACACATCTGTCATTTTAAAAAATCAGCAGTTCCATCTTTTCTATTCTATTCAATAAGAAGATAAAAGGATGTGCAAATATTTCTTTAAAATATAAATCCACAAACACAAAATTTACCTCACTTGATGCAACAAGAGTTATCATCTTAATCCTTTTTTAATAGAAAACATAAAAAAAGCAAACTGCATGAAAAGAATAGGAACATGATACCAACTGCAGCGTCAATATGGCTAATTTTCAGCGCTATTCTCTTATGTCAGCATGTCTTTTTCTGAAGAGATCCTTGATTTTCATTGTAAATTCAATAAATTCGAATAAAAACAGATTCGTGAGTATTTCAAGTGCCTTCTTTTTGAGGATTTCTCCTTTACCACTTTTAAAAATGTTCTGTTTATATTCTTCATAAAATTGACTACACGAGCTGATATAATGTTTTGACGAAGTACATCTTGTGTAGAACAAGTCAACGGAAACAAGACACGTGAGATTTTATTAAAGACTTTTTTCAAGGAACAATTTTAAGGCACTTGAGAGAGAAATTTTAAAGCAACAACGTGAAGCGGAATAAAAAAATTCAATTTCGCATTGAAACGGAACCGAATGAAGTGATTTTTTTTTGCTTCTCATTTTTTTTTGTGTAGCATGATATTAAATTGAGCGAAATTAATTTGATTTTTATTAAAATTGTAAAATGAGAAAGAGAAGATGCTGGCTGTGTCGAGATGAAAGAATGACGATGATTTTTTCTTTACCTGTAATAAAGAGATAACAAAGTGAGTTGTAAAGGTTTTGGATGCGTTGAAGCTTAGAAAGGCGCTGTTTTTGTTTATTTCAGATTCATTACATTACAATTTACAATTATAACCAAATACCAGATGTTTTTTAACTGGATCTTCTGGATCTTAAAAAAATTATTCAATTCCTGTAAAATAAACATCCACAAAGTCCAAAATCCACCTTTTTCGACAAACTAAGTAGATTTTCAGCCTTATCACGCATTTTTCATCGTCACGCACAAATTTGATGATGAATTATGGGTAGCAAAAAAATCCAGGCATCAATTTTTGTTGCTCTAGACAATACATAATAATCATAGCTGCAATAAATCATGATAAACAAATACAGATTGAGATCCAATAAATTTCCATTATCATTTGAACATTAATTTGAATTTATTAGCCATAGAACATTGAAAAAGTAAATTTTCCACGAGTTATAAAGTTATATGCAGTGAGTAGCTAGCATGATATTGTTTATAAAATTCTCAATAAAAAAAGCAAACATCAAAAAAAATCACAATAAAATCATTCCAAATTTATTTATTTGCTTACACATGTCCATGTGTGCATCACTAACCTCTCCTTTATAAGCATAAAATTACGAGGATTTATAGTCAGCTGATGTTGGTCTTGTTGCAGCACTTTGTCAGCTTTGATATGCAATTAGAATGTATGAAGTCGAGGAGACTTAAGTCGAATATTCGAACAAAATCTAAGTCAGGTATACGAGTTGGCTATAGCTCATCAATGTTATCAAAACTGGCAGTTTGATAGTGGCTGGACAATTTGTTAAATCATATTATTAAAGTGGTCTTCAGATAAAAACCAACTCCTAAGTCTTGTGAAATTGCTGACAATTCAGAACATCAGTAGATTCGGGGAACGATCAGGAATTTACTGATATGCTGAAAATTTCCCGTTCTGTCTTTATCCTTCTTGTGTCCCACAAATTATGTGGAAACGAGATATCGTAAGTCCTATACTGACAAAATCAAAGGCCAAAATGACTAAACTTGTCACTGATCCCAACAACTATCCAGGACAGTTTGTGCTGTTTTAATTTCAGTGACTTTTGACGACGCAAAAGTGACAAAAATGCTCATCACAAAAGAACAATAAACAGCACCAAAATCACATCCATTCTCAATCACCATGACTTTTTCACTTGCTACTTTTTTTATCATCCTCGATTTTTTTTTCTAGTTTTATAAATTTTTCATGCTCCTTTTTTGTGTGTTGTCTCTTTGTGACTGCTTTTCGAATGATGTCATCAGATTTTTTTTTTTGCTAAGTAGCAAGATAGTTGAAATTTGTTCAGGACACCTGCTGCAAGTATAATATGATATGGGGTCAAGGATCAATATTTTGAGACTATTTTGTTGAGCTCATCGTGCTGCTTTTTTTGCTACTGCTGCTGTTCTTTGTTGGAAGTTGACAATATTGTACCACGAATTTGAAAATTATTTGTTACACTGATTAGCATAAATATGTGTAGCA